GTTACCGCGAAGTATAAAGCTTTAATATGATTTGTAGTGAAACTTTAAATACAGTGATTTTTGATCAGCCTCATTAGATGATTGTAACGTATATACATACATGTAACTCTAAATCAGCAAAATCTTTAATTTTTCAATTTTTCGAGTAATTTTTTTAGTGAAAATTCTTGCTCGTCGCCATTTTTGCCTTGCTATTTTTGTCTTGCTAATTTAACCGGCTACTCGAATTAAAACGAATGAAACTAAAATACTCTTGAAATATGAAATAAAGAATAAAACTTTATTTATTTGCCTTTCTTCTTTATTAATATATCTTTTCATAAGCTTTATCTTTTCCAATCTCGTTAATATATTAAAGAGAAAAATTCTAAATTTTTTGACATAAAAAGGAAAGCATTTGCGGCTTCATACTTGCAATAACTATCTAAATATTTTTCTTATCTCTTGAATTACCAACAATTACTTACGCAAAGATAATGATAATTGCTCATTGAGATAACAACAATAGCCGCTGGCAGTCGAGCGGAAGTAATTGCGGAAAGTGTAATTCGTGGTATCCTTTGAAATGTCAGAGAGAAATGTGATGTAGACCAGCCTTTTATCGACGCCAAAATACATCGCGGAGCTTGTAGCTTAGAACATCGCTAAAATATTCATCTTCGGGGATGAAAGGAGGTGGAGGATATACAAGACGAGCGCAAGAAGAGAGGGTGAAAGAAAGAAAGAGAAAGAGAGGGAGGGAGAGAACATCATTGAGCGTTACAAGGGAAATACATAATGACGGACGAGCATCGAGAGACAGGCATGAACAAAGGCTTTGCGCTCCATCGTCCATCCGGGTTCTTTGTTGCTACCGTATGTCAAGACTGCTGCGAACGCGGGTCTTTTATCCGCCGAGAATGTATTTAAAGTGTAATGTCATTGGCGTGTTTCGTCCCACTTTGAAAAATTATCCCGCCTCGTCTGGCGACGCATCTCGTACATCATCACGGTGATGTAATAGAGAACGTAAACTCTCGTATTATATTGCCTTTCGAGTACTTGTAGCTTACAATAGAAATGTTCCGGAAAAAAAATAGGAGAAACATAATCTTGTTCCTTAAAAAAAAAAAACGGAATATTAGAAATATTATACTCTAATGGAATTTCTAGTCTAATAATGTCATCTTTTTAATTACAACTTGTATTTTTTAATTATTTAAATACAGTCAATTGTATAATATTTTGAAATCTTGCTTCATTTGCACCTTTTAGAAATTATATATTTCTTGTGTACGCGAAGATAAAATTAACAATCGTGTGTCTGAAGATGTAAAAAAAAGCGATATCTCGTGAATAAATTTCATTTGACAATAAGCTCGAAAACACGTCGCGAATTCAATCCGTAAAATTCTGAAGCGGGGGTTCATCGCGCCACTTGGTTGCGCTTGTGCAAATAGCGCTAAAAGCGTCCAGACTCATAAATTATTCGTACAAGAACGTCCGAAGTCGCTACCTGTTGAAGCCTTGGCGCACCAATATCTAGGTTTCTCCGAAAGCTTTTTTAAGTCGCAGTGAAGCTGGACGATGCATATTCATTTTAGATCCATCGTTCCGTTTCTCCATTTATCAGTTTTATCTTTAATACCGGGATTACAGGCTCAGCTCGAAGATTAAAGGCTAAATTGCATAAATTTCACGCGGTGTGAAAATATAAGAAAAGCATCAATTAGTCTCTTACTCTTGGAATGTCTGCCATTCAACCCAGAAATACACGATAAATGTAACTTGATAAATCAATTTAATATAAGTTAATTAATGTTTAATGATTCAATAAATTAATCGTCTAATGAAAAATATTACGAGTCCACTTTCAAAAGAGAAAGCCTGTTCTTTTCCAGGACATCCCGTATATACATATATTTTGCCTCGCTATTTTGATACGCGTTATGCGGAACGTTGATGTTTCCTGATTTATGCAGAGATGTGCACGCGATTGTCAGAAGAAACATACGAAAAAACGATGTAAACAAAACACCAAGCCAAGCAACGTGCATCGCATGCTCCCCTTGTTATGCATATATAATTATACGCGCGAATCCACCGCGTGGCAAGTAACCATTTTCGTAACACGGCTTTTTGAACGTGGCGACGTAACGTTTGCTTGGCTCTTTCGTTTTAAACGTAATATCGCGCCTTGGGTCATATTCCGTAGCATCATTTTCCTAGTCCTTCCCTGTATACATATGTATATATGTATATACTGCCAAGGGATACATTTACATCTCCAGTAAAGTTGACGCGCTCATTTGCAAATGTATAGGATCCCCTCCGAGAACTCGCATTTAGTTGCAACAGCTTGTCTTTTTTCCCGCTCAACTTTCAATTATAATAATTTCTCGCAAAAATCTTAACTTTTTAAGTTTCTAAAGTACAATCTAACGAATTAATAGAGATGGATGTAAAATTACATGCGCAAAAAAATAATATATAATATTTTATTATTTCTAAAGTACAATCTAACGAATTAATAGAGATGGATGTAAAATTACATGCGCAAAAATAATATATAATATTTTATTATTTTAGATTTTGATTGTTACGCAAAATTTAATTTGACGCTCGAATCAATTAGATCGAGAATGTATAATATAATTGAAGATAATTTCTCGCAATATCGAAAGAAGCATCGTAAGCACAACCGACGGGATCGTATTTCTCAATTAATTATGTTGACCTCTCGCAGAAAATTCAATTTTATGCTTAATTAGAGAACCGCTTTACATTATAATTGAAGCATTCGGATTAAGTTTGAAATTTATAAATAAGTAACCTAAACAAATTAGTTTCTTATTTACAAATATTTTCACTTTAATATATAATTTTTAATATAATAATAATGTATTCTTATTAGTAATTGCTATTTAATTGTTTTGAATTGTTAAACAAAGTATAGCTTTTTTTAGTAAACAGGATGTGGTCACATTTACATATTTAGAAATATTCTAATACTATTCATTTAATTTAAATTATTATTATTATTTTTTAATTACTTCAGTTAATCTTATCGACAAATGTCATTAATTTTTTGTAAATTTAAGATAATTCTTTGATTGGTTATTCTTTTCTATACATTTTTTTCGTTATTTCTCGTTGAAATTATTCATATCCGTCTCTCAAAACATTTGCTGAACACTCAAAATTTCTAGATAGGCAAATGGACAAGTAGATGGACAGACAGATAAGTTGACAGAATCGAGCGAACAGACAGGGGCTTAACTTCCGCACCATATAAATGCATTTCATGTTCGATTATCTGCCGCGTTCGAAATCCAAGATATGATTATGGGAGACGTTTGCAAGCCCCGTTACGATTTGCGAAGTTGGCACGGTATATTTATAGAGAGAGAGAGAGAAGGGGAGGGGGGCGTTCCGCCAAGTAAAAGGGTAAAAAGTGATGCTTTTACGGGATTACAAGAGATATACGTCGATACGATTGACGTAGTCCCGTCCAATTTTAGCATTACTAGAGAGAGACAAAGAGAGATCAGCTATAGTGCGCTTTGACACGATGCCATTAAATCGGTCGACGTTCACATTTCGCGAAATGTCTTCCGGTGTCTGCAGCGCGTGTTGCACGTCTCTCTCAAATATCACAATTTTTATCCGAACAGCTGCGACAGGGTGTAAAATTTTTACATAAATTTGTGAGTGCGACTCCAAGTTACGATCCGAAAACGTACGAATTGCCTCGCTATCTCTTCGCTATGTTTCCTCTTTTTTAAATCTATAAATATGCAAACGCACACAGATATGTTAATATAAGCAGTTAATTTCGCAGTTTTTTTAAATTGCAGATTGTTTACACAAATGGATGATTTTTTTCAATGGAATGGGATGATTTATTTTTTTTTTAATTCGTGTCTGCTCATTTTCTAGAGCAAGAAATTCGGATTATTTCCACGTCATCTGTGTTATATCCGTATAAAGAGCAATTTAATATTCGCCAAAGAAGGTCAACGTAGCTTGTGTTACAAAGATTTCCATCGTAATTGCGAAATCTGAGCGTTCCTTTGGGAGTAATTACGAAGAGTCGCGTGATAAATCCATGCAGCGATGACTTTGTCGAAAACATGGCACTCTAGAGAGCGTCGAAGAAGAAGAGAAACTTTGCGCGCTCTCCTATCCTCGTATATCATAACATTGTTACATGATAGCAAAATACAAGTAACCAAAGTTAAATAACATTGTTATAGATCGCGTCATGTGGTTATCCATTTATTTGTTTCAAGATATATTCCGGGGAGCAACTTTCTCATCGCGCGAAATCTTTTCTCACAATTTACCGACACTTGCAAGAAGAATTACAGGATTTTTATCTTCTCACCTTGGAAGATATATCGGGGTGAAAGAAATCTTTCTTGAAAAAAATTTACGGTTTTATATAAACGCACGATAAAAAACATTTTCGGAAATACTCACACTTCGACACTTTCCCTCTATTCGAGGTGGTTTTGGATATGATAAAAATAAACGCGAGGTAGTTTTGGATATGATAAAAACAAACGCGAATATTGGCAAAAATGAAAAACACACGAAAAATTATTCTCGTTCATTCCTGAGAGAGAGAAAGAGAGAGAGAGAGAGAGAGAGAGAGAGAGAGAGAGAGGAGGAGAGAGAGTCATCGAAGTTTCATGGAAATTCAAGAGAGGGATGAATTCCTCGTTAGCGAATTCGACGCGAATCAATCAGCAAACGAGCTCGCCACTGCGCTGGTCCAGCGTTGCTGGTCCACTGGGAAAGAGAGAGAGAGAGAAACAGAGAGAGGGGGAGGAAGCGAGAGAGGAAGAGAGCGAGCTAATAAAACAATCGTCGCTCTTTGCGGAAGCTGCGTATAATTGGGGGACCGCGAGGACCCCTCCTCCGTCCTTTCGTTCCTGTCCCTAGATCCACGACCTTCGACCCTTGTCGCAGTCGTGCTCTAATGATTGTCCAAAGTGACTATCGGATGAACGTTTCAGTCTGGGCGGGGGCGTTAAGCGCCGCGGTTTCCCGCGGTTCAGCGCCGCTGGTCGTCGGCGCGTGTCGTCGTGGCAATACAAGGCTTACGGCGGTAATCGGCGGTCTCGTGCTGGCCCTGGCATCACTCTTCACCTCGTTCGCCCTCCAGATGCATCAAGTGCTCCTTAGGTGCGTAGCGACGCGAAAGCGATACACAGGTACTGATTGTTCGCGAAATACCTGAAAATAATCGATAAACACAAGAGGGACAACTCCATTTTTTTCTTATTAATTTTTCATGTATATGTAAGCGAAAGAGATAAATATAAGTATTATATTCTTGCATATGTTATTGAAAATTTATTTTCACAATGAAAAATCTAATTTGATACGCATTTATTATTTTTAAAATAATTTTTTTCGGTCACAAATTCTATTGTTAGTTTAAGAAGAAAGGAATGTTGTTACTCTGCGCAAAATCTACGCATATTGGTGCGTACAGATATTTCGTCAAAATATGAAATATAAGAGCGAAATTTTCGTGTATCGTCAAAGCTATTTTTACAGCGAAAACGACTAATTGCGTAATCTTTTTCATTTTTAAAATTTTTTTCGGAATTCATGAATTTCAGATTGAAAAAAAAGGGAACGTTATATGTTGTTTCTACCTATATTGTTGCATGGCAAGTTTCAGCCGTGAATGAAATGTTATTAAAATTTCATACATTATATATAGAGCAATACACAAAAGCTACATTTCTGTGGTAATAGTTAGATTATTCAGTTTTTTTTGCTTTCAAAGTGCAGCTTTTAATGTTTAATAGCATCCCATTTTTTATTCGGAAAATTCGGGTTGTATAAAAATCAAAAAAAAAAAAATAAAGGAAGAAACACCAAACTCTCTTTCAAGCTTTCTTGAATCGTCAGCGACACTGTGTGTATAGCAGCGCTGTTTCCGATAAAAATCGTCCCGCAATTTATATCCTCTCGCACAGATTCGATCTATATATATGTGTGTATATAAAGTCATACGATTTACTTTTACAAAATGCAATAGCTACGGGCTGGTGCTGGGTACGGGAGCCGGCCTCGTGAGGGAAACCGCCGGTCTGGTGTTGGGCAATTACTTCAGAAAACGGCGGGAGTTCGTCGAGATGGTGGTGCAAGCCGGGACCGGTGTGGGAATAGCGCTTTTCAGCGTCTTCTACAAGGAAGCCGTCGGGTGAGTTGTTACGTGTTATCACGTCGCTTTAATATATTATGCATTTTAAGCAGTAAGCATCCTAGGGTGATCGCGCCCCCGACATTCAAGCTCAGGCTGGAGCGGGAAAGATCCGATTGACCTTCAATCGCGTTATTTCTTCACACGTGTGGGCAGGTGCACACGTTAAATATCGTTCAACTAACAATACGACGGCAAAAAAACAACAAAGTTCCTGGCATTATTCGCGTTTGAAGGGTTTATTGTCATAATTACTGCAAATAAATCACAGTCGTTGCACATAATTATTTTTAATTTATTCGGTGAATATCTAGCCATTTTATGAAAGCGTAGTGAAAATAAATTACATAATATAAAATAATATAAAATAATATAAAATAATAATATAAAATAATATATTGTAAGTGATGCTTTTGTAAAATAAATTTTACTTATATATATATATATATATTTTGTTTTGAAACAATATGATTATGTTTCTACATCTCTTAGCAATTCAATTTTTGAAGCTTAAATAACACAACAATTTTTATCTTGATTTTTACTATTCTAATTGAGTAATTGTCTTTGAAATATTCTTATAATGACATTATATTATTTTATAATTGTAAAAAAATTTTTAATTTAATCTATATAGTAAATTAAATAAAACGTGCATGTGTATAATTTTTATCCAAGATAAAAATTGTACATATTGTATTATTAAATTTTAATAAAAAAAATTCAACTGCAAAAAAAATACTTCAAACATTTTGATCAATTTTAAATTTATTACTTTGGTAAAAATTCAATTTAAATTATTAATTATCAATATAATCAATATCTTAATATTAAAATATTTACAAAAGGTATTGCAGTGATAGTTTATGAGTCGAGTGGGTCGGGGAAATCTGGTAAAATCGAAAGTTAAACCGTCCATATGTATACAAAAAAATACACTGCCACTTTCTGAGGAAATGTACTTTCGAAGAGGATCATTGAAGAGAATTTCGCTGGCAGTGGTAACGATATTTACTCGCCGGACAACAGCGGCTCCCGAAACAAATCGCGCACGTCGAGAAGTCGGACGGTCGCGTATAACATAGAGGCAAAACGAACTGTTTTTCAATGCGTACCACCCTTTTATCGTAGATTTTCGCGCGACTGCGTGTCCCTGTAGCACCGCAACGTCCGTATACGGTTCGCGATGCGACAGTTTCCGCGGAAAATTCGAGCGAACAGATTCGACGCGGAATAATTGAACATTCTATTCGGATTCGATTCTTTTTTCCCCTCGCTTTTGGTCTCGCTCTTTCTTTTTTATTTATACCTTTCACCGACGTCAGAACAATTTGTTTGATGTTTGTCACGAACGTTTGTTAGTATCGTTGATTCGTTTACTCAACCGTGATTGGCAATCTTTTTCTACTATGATTTCTTACGTGTATCTTTATTTTCAAATGTTGACAACAGGCTTTATAAAGTAAGCTAATATTTTTCATAAAATTTCTAATATTTTTCATAAAATTTGTAGAGGCTTATTTTATTTATATTTAATTTCTTTTAATCTTAACTACAAGGTTTTACATAAAGAGATTAGAATCTTATTTATGACGAGATAAAATTAATCAGGGAGTAAAATTTCGTCACCGGTTTCCAAAAAGAACTCTCTAATATTATCCTCGAAACTTTTCATACTAAATAGTTGAGAAAGAAAAGGAGGAAAAAAGAAAAGAAATGACTTGATATTAAAACAGTGTCTGTTTTTTTTTTCATTTATTTTCTCCAGTTTGTAATTTAATCAAAGATCAAAGAGTTTTATAACGTTTTGTATCAAATGCGGGTGAGAGATTATACGTATTTATTATCGTTCAACAAAAGAATAATGTTTATTTTAAACTACTATGGGAATCGAATAATCGACGCGTTGTTTAAATCCTCTGTTAACAAGGTAAAATATTTAATGCGTTTTAACCCTTGTATATGCAAACTTGCATGTAGATAAACGCTAGATCGTTGCACATGCGGGTTATTAAGCATGCACTTAATTGCCGTTGCCATGCGGCAGTTTCTGTTAGGTACAAAAGCATGGTCCAATTAGAGATCGGCCTCTTCTGGATCGACGAGCATAATATCGTTGGATATCGGCGGAGTAACCCGTTAAGTCGATACGGCTTACTCAATAACCCGGATAAGTTTCTCCACTGAAGGGTCAACGATATTATACCAGGTTACGTGTTGCAGTATAAGAATTTACGAAACTTTCGAAATAACCAGAGCGGTATGTCTGATACAGAGTTGTAAGGAAAATTAAAAAAGGAAACAATAAAATATCGCATGCGATACAACTCACACGGAAAGTTGGTGAAAAGATATTTTCTTACATCATATTCTCTTCTTATAATTTTTTTATCATATTTTTTTCTTTCTTTTTATTCATATATATTAAACTCAAAAGTTGCACCAGAGTATTGCACGGAATTGTATTGATTTTGAAAATCAATTCGAAAGTTTCTCCCCGAGAGAGGATAAAATATTCAAATATAAGTAGATTAAAATTTATGCCTCTGCAATTTTCCTTTGAGCAAAAACTTTTTGTCTTCGATAGACTGCTCGTTTGTTAGTGGATGAGTGTTATTGTAATGCTAGTCACGGATAATCCCCGTGTTTTATCTTGCGTGGGAATCACCGCAATGCGGATACAGTTTACCAGATGCTACGAATTTCTTCTATGATTATGGTGGTGATATCAGATTTGTTCTTTTAAGTGTGGCATCTATCCTACATTCTCGCGTTCTTCTTTTTCTTTCCAAAGAAGTAAACGGCACTTCTTTTCAAACTTGACAAGTGCAACTGAAGAGAAGATACCTTAAAGTACATTAAAAGAGATTACACTAATTTAACCTATTGAATTTAATCAATGTAATACTTAATAAATAAACATATATATATTAATAAATATATATACTTATATTAATAAATAAAACATATTAATACTCAATAAATAAATTAAATGCACATAATATTATTATAAATAAATTAAATATATATAATAAATCGTAAAATATATCGTATATTATCTATCCACATTTTATGCGTGTGTGTTATGGTTTATATAATTTATTGTTTATAAATACATTAAATTTATGTAATTTATTGTTAATAATACATTGAATTATAATAATGATGATGACAATAATAATTATTTGAATAATACGATAATTCTATAGGAAGAGAAAGAAGAAATAGAAACAGAGAAGAAGAGAGATAAACTAATTTAAAGTATATGTAAAATTTATTGTCACGAAATTGAATATCTATCCTCGAAATGCTAGATTGTATCTATAACGTTAACGCAAAAATCTCGGGGGCGCCATATTTTCACACTACAATTTACACTATCAGAGAAAGAGCGAGATATGGTAAATTTTTTATTTTTGCCCGTTATATACGAGGTGTACATACGCACATGCACGCATATGTACACCTACGTTATGTACTCGATTGGACGCATTGCGTTCCGCATACGTTATAAAAAAAAAAAAACATATTACGGACATGTATATATAATGTATAAAATTTTGTGGAAATGACAAACCCCTCAAAACGCGCCCTCCAGTTGCCGGCTTTTTGCCGGATAATTTTCTCTCTTTCTCCCTCTCTATATTTCCCCCCTCTCCTGCTCTCCTCTCTCGCTCTCTTTATCTATCTAGCAGTCTGTCTATTTATCTGTCTGTCTCTCTTTCTCGTACAAACGTACACCAACCAACGAGGTGGTTTGTTACACGCACTATGCGTTATCGAACCATCATCTCATCTCTGACCCGGGCGCATACGCGATAAACATTTAATGCGCGCTCCAGGGATTCGATAGGGAGCGAATGAGGAAAGGTACACGTCGCCCAGATCGGAGAAAATAAATTCAACCGTTCGCGGAGATAACACGGTCCATGATAAAAACGTACGAGATGTGTACCATGAATAATCATGAGCCGAGTCTCATTATCCTCACGCCGAGGGATTAAAGCGCAACTTTTGCTCCGTACTGATATGTTGAATACATTCCGAGGAACTCGAGAGAAAGAGAGAAAGAGATCTTGTTTCTTACTTTATAATTTTTTTATGTGAGTATTTGCCAACATTCTCTCTTGGCGCGTAAATGAGGGGAGCTTAAAAATTGTTACAACGTCTTTCAGCGTAAAAAGAAACCAAATCTCCGGAAGAGAAACGGTGTGTGGTACTTGAAAAATAAATATTCGCTCGTATTCTTTAATAATTAAAACCACGCGAGAATTGATTCTATAATTATATAGACTGTTGATTTAATTATTATATCTATTTCTCGCAAGTTAAATCGCTAATGGTTTCCTTTTTTACATTTTCCTTTATTTTTTGACCTCGACTATAATTATTGCCAGTCGACGATTCGTATTCTATTGTTCTTTATACATTTAAGTAATGTTTTAAAACAATCGTTTTGCTCGAGTTTTCACCTCGATAGCGTATAGCGCTTTTTACTTTATTTGACTAAATATTGAAATGAAAATGAGATTTTCTCGCGGAAAGTTCAGATTACGCTGCGAAAATGTTAAAGATCGTTTATAAAGAAATTAAAACTTAAACAAGTTTAATATTTTCTTGTTAAGGAAATATTAATGAAACCGAAAACGAAACGCGATAAATGTAAAAGTAAATGTCTCTCTTAAGCGTTGAGCGTAATATCGTTTGATGATGTATTTGTAATACACGTGCAATTCGCATAACTGCTTGTACAGCGAAACAGCGTCGAAACATTGCATTTCATAAATCGCATCGCTGTATCAGCGTCAGGTGAAAGCCACTCTATTACACAACTTTTATTACAAATTGCGGAAGTTGCGCGCGCGCGCGAATAATAATGCATAATATTTGAGCTTTAAAAAATCTACGTGATCGTGTTAAACTTTATCGTCCTTATTATCTCCTCCGACTAATTATGAAAATTTTTGCAAAGTTACTCTTTGATAAGATTGCCATTTTTATTAAATGCATGAGATTTCTTTACTTTTATAACAATATAACGATGAATTAAGCAGCCGTTCTTACTGTGTGATATAATCTATTATAATTTAAATTTTTTTATAGCGTCAGATATTTTCACGTCCTACACTAAATATGCACAATAAACGTGTATGACTCGTTATCGTTACTGAAATTTAAAAAAAGATTATTAATTTTTATCAATATTAAAATGTAGGCACAATTGTCTAAGGATGTTTTGTATGTTCAATCCCAGCAAAAAGTAACTGAAAATCAATATTGACGAATATTCACTTTTGGTGTATTTTGAATATGAGAAATTGTGTGAAATATTACAATTTGATCTTACAATTAGCTACAGTGCAGAGATGTATTTTTTAATATTTATTGCGTTTTTACTGAAATATTCCGAATTTTGTTAATCAAAATGATTAACTTTTGGCAGAGAATTTCGCCTCGTGAGAGATACATGGCTAACTTCATTAAATTATATTTAATATCTTTTTAACCAGTTAGTACTTGTATAATATTATTTGACCAAATATTTCCTCTATATCTAAACTTTTGCAAATTTTAAACAAATTCTGAATATTATTTCCATGTGTTTTTGTCGAATCTGAATCGACGTGGTTATACGTTTCCCATAAGAACACATGTTAATTCGGTGCAAATTAAAATCCTCATAACTTGTGAACGCTTTAGTGAATCGATTTCAAAATTGTACTGAAGATTCTAAACATATGTAAGGAGATTCTGAACAATTTTATTAAATTCTCAATATTTTGAAAATAGGTACAAAACATCCTTAATTTATATCGATTAAATAGTCGCATATTTATTTTCACGCCTCTAATATTTTTCGAGATTATAATTCGCGAATGGGGATAAATATAAGCAATTGCGACGAAGAAACGTGCGCGTAGCTAGGAAAATTTTCTCTCAGAAATGCAAATGCAGTAGCTTTAGCTGGCCGAATGAAACGTAACTAGGGGATGTACAGAGCGCGCGAACTCGAATGTGGCACGTAAGAAGCGCCTGTTCAGCTGTACGATTCGACACGATCTCCGAATAGCGCGGATAGTGATCATAATCGTCTTCGTTCTTCCCAGGATAGGGATCATAATCGTCTTCGTTCTTCCCAGGAAGCTGGGCTGGCGGCTGGGGCTTCAATCGGTAACGGGTGCGCTCTCGTTGGCCTTCTTTCTGGGACTGATATACCGGAGCGCCTCGCTCTACCACCCCCAACGTCGGGCGATATTGCATCTGAAGAATCAACGTAGCAAACTCAAGGAGAAGAAATCCGGGAACAAGGTGCCGAAGCAGCCGCTGGTCGATCTGAGCCCTCTAGGATCGCGTCCTGTGAGGATGCTCATGCTGGCCGCCGGTGCCGCCGGTTTTGGTCTCTACACCCCCGCCTTCTACATCGTAAGTGCACTCCACCTAAGTGCGATCGAGAGGCAAGGATCTTTTTCCTCTCCTTCGACGCCAGGAGAATATCGATCATCGCCGTAAAATCACCGTAAAAATCTCGTGTAGTAAAAGTATCGACGAGACCTTTACTCGCGTCATTTATTCTCGCGAAGGTTCGGAGTAAAAAAAATATGTTCAGGCGAAATCTACCAGACTTGGTAAGGAGGCAATTTGTAATATTTTTATTAAAGGATTAATACGACGCATACTTCCTTCAATATCGCGCGTGCTACTTGAAAGAGAATAACAGCTAGGGAGGATATCGATAGTCGGGGGAGGTATTTTATGCGAAGCAAACGAGCGTTTCCTAATCTCGCGATCTCTCCCCGAAGCTAATCTCAGGGAGTTGGACGAGCCAATTTCGATAATCGATATTAGACGCGCGTCATTACCGGCGGTATTGTACCAGTGTTATTGGAGTGATTCGAGCCTTCGTTTTCTCAGCGCGAGCCCTTAATGAGAAACATCGCTTACAGGCTTTGCAAGGCAACCAGGAGGGATTGGAGGCCAGCGCTCTGGTACTGTTGCAAACCTGTCTGGGGTTGGCGGTGGCACTCGGATGCGCGGCCTGGGGGGTGGTCACCGCCAAGCCTTCCGCTCAGTGCCTAGTGTCCAGGCAATATCTCTGCCAAGCGGCACTCATCGGGGTCGGTGAGTAAACTAGTCTCCTGTAATCACTTTCGTTTACACACCACGGGCTTAACCGCGAAACAAGAGCTGTAAATCGCTGGATGTTGGCGTTCGATCACCGTTAGATTTACCGTTGTGAGATTCCAAAATGTATCTTTTTCATTTATCGGAATAATTATCCTTCTTCTCTATTCTAAACGTCCTGACTCTTCAGTAGATTCCTTATTTTCATTTTTTTTAAACAAAATTTCAGAAGGGAAGAAAGATTCTAAAATTATCTGCGCATTTAAATAGATACCTTTGCTACAAGAAGTATCATTTGAAGTTATATATACATTTTTCTTAAAACAGAATTTTTTTAAGGATCTTTTGTATGTATAATCCCAGCAAAAAGTAGCTGAAAATCAATATTGACGAATATCCAATTTTGGTGTATTTTGAATATGAGAAATTGTGTGGAATATTACAATTTGAGCTACAGTGCAGAGATGTATTTTTTAATATTTATTGCGTTTTTACTGAAATATTCCGAATTTTGTTAATCGAAATAATTAATTTTTGGCAGAGAATTTCGCCTTGTGACAGATACATGGCTAACTTCATTGAATTATATTTAATATCTTTTTAATCAGTTAGTACTTATATAATATTATTTCACCAAATATTTCCTCTGTATTTAAACTTTTGCAAATTTTAAACAAATTCTGAATATTATTTCCATGTGTTTTTGTCATTTGAATGACGTGGTTATACGTTTCCTATAAGAACACATGTTAATTCGGCAAATTAAAATCCTTATAACTTGTGAACGCTTTAAGTGAATCGATTTAAAAATTATACTGAAGATTCTAAACATATGTAAGGACATTCTGTACAATTTTCATTAAATTCTCAATATTTTGAAAATAGGTAGAAAACATCCTTAAAATATTATTCGCTATCATCGATAAGAAAAGATCGATTTTTGTCGGCGAATCTGTGCGGAATCTTCTTGTAGAGGAAAAACTACGTAAACATTATGAGCTAAAATATTACGCATAAATTTTGCACGTAAACAGATGGAAATTGTAAATTCGAGAAACGCCGTCTCCGTTTCCTTCAAGGGTTATCGATCCGAATTACGTTTCCTCTTTGCTTAAAGCTGTAGCTCAAGTGGCTCTTGGTAGCGTGCAAGGTTATCACGGACTCGTACTGGCCTCCGGGCTTTACGGCGCCTCGCTCGGCGGTGCACTCTACTCCCTAAAGATGCTGGCCCTGGAAAGGTTGCGAGCGAGACATTTCGCCAGATCGTGGGCTCTGGTGCAAGCCGCGGAAGCTCTGCCGATCCTTTTCGGAGTTCCTCTCACAGGTATGCAAAAATTGTCAGATCAGTTCCAGACGAGGCGCACTTTGAGTTCCCCTTATTTGCTTGAGAATCGCTGACGCTTTGTAAAAAGTCGCAAACTGTATAGGATCCTTCCTCGACAGACAAGATTTCATCGTTCTGCCTTTCTCTGTGTGTATTTAAAAAATCGCAAAATAAAAAATTTTCTATTAAATTTTTAAAAATATGGAAAAAGAAGATTACTCTTTATGCTACTTTTATATATCATTTTTTTCCACTCAAACGATGATGAATATTGTACGAATGTGCAACGTCGAAAGAGGCATTATATGTTTCTTACCGCAACATTTCCATAAAGATTCGCTGCATCCTCTACCTGTTTTTTTTATTAAGGATACATAAGGTGCTTTCTTTAAACGCAAATTCTTCAAAGACCCGTAATAGTATTAGAGCTTTAAAGTACCAAGGTGGGCGGAATCCGCTTCGCTTGCTCGCTAAATCCGTCCCTACTAATAGTCTTACGGTCCTCATGTATGAATTTAATGCCGGCATCCTTAATAATAATGTACGAAGGTTGTGGAAAATACGCTCGTCTACTCGTATCACTGAGAGAATATTCAAGGAAACATGACAACTGTCACGCGTATTCAAGTACTATTGCAAATTTTGGTCAGCTTTGAACAGCTTAATGTAATCACTGAAATTTCACCGATTTGTACATCGCTTTCATTATATTGCATGATATTTGGAAATTAAGATCTAAAGCATCGTGCAAAATTAAATGGCAAAATTAAATTTGTATGTGAGAGAAAGGAATTTTATAATCTATTATAAATTAATTGAAATATATGACAAGCTTTTCCATCAATGCATTATTCTCCCTTATGTATGATATTCAATAATTATGATAGTGATATTAATTGGCATTATTGGTTAGTACAATATTGATATTCTCGATTTGAAGAATTTAAAAAGACGAAACATAATAAATTTGTAATTTGTCAAGTTTATTTTCAACATTCCTTTCAAGGTTTCACATTTAAAAATTATTTTTATTTCGCAAAAATAGAATGCCTCCAAGAAATAGCAGATTATATTTTACGACGATTCAATTATTACAAAAAGACGAAGAGGGACGTTGAAGAGCGACAGGTCGCAATCGCATTCCGCACAAACTCCTCTCAAGGCCGCAAAATTATCGAGAGCTTTCTCATCCCCCTCGAGCGTCAAAAAAAGAAAAGAAATCGCCCAATCTTTCACAAAATCCCCCTCCGGGCCGTATATAAGAGCAGTCAACCATCTCCGCCGTCAGCGTCCCTAATCATCTCGCCGTTTCCAGGCGCGAAAAAATAAATTACGACGAATTTAATCGCCATCCCGTTTTCTCCCCCCCGCCCCTCATTCCGCTCTCACCCCCGTTTCCGTCCCCGCAGGTTACATGAACGCGAACAGCCCGCGGGTGGGCTACTACGCGTGCACGTTGAGTTCCTTGTGCGGCGCGGCGCTGCTCTTCCTGGTCGGCTGGGGACGGCAGCCGGCGTCGCCGCTCCTGCCGGGGCCGCGGCTCTCGAGCCTCGGCCTCGGCCTCGGCGTCGCGCCGCCGCCGCCGCCGTGCGCCTGTCCGCCGCCGCCGCGGCCCCGGCTACCCAAGTCGCAGTCCCTGCACGTGCCGCTGGACGTCGAGGACGGCATGCGCGAGCAGCGGGTCTACGCCGAGCGGATGCACGAGGTCGACCACTACTGCCACCCGCAATTCCACGCGCCGCTGCGGCCGAGCAAGAGCGTCCCGGAGGGCCTCGGCCACCAGGACCCGTACCGCGTCCGGCCGCGACGTCACCGCGACATCACCGTCATCGAGCAGATCACCACCAGCGTCTAGGAGCGAGAGCGATCGCGGCCGATATCGCGCGCGATAGTGTTTAAGGCGGACGGGAACTCCGACGATGTCCGCTTCGGGTGATGCTGGAAACGCGTGCTCCTGTTCGCGCTTGTTGCGTCGTTAGAGTTGCTCTTTATCGAGATCAACAAGCGTTACATCGATCTCGGAATTGTACAGAAATGCCTCCGAAAGCTTCTCCAGGAGTTTTGTGTTTTCTCTTTTGCGTTTTTCAAAATTGGAGAGGAAAGGAAGAACGATATTGCATTTTCTTTGTAACTTAGATTGCTTGTTATGATATCGTTGGGCTGTTTTTTTTTTAGCTTGCTTTTTTACATTTTGTCGCATAAAAGTAACTTACCGGATGATTTGGAGTTGTTTTTGAGAAAAAAAAGAGGTATTAATGGTAAAAGCTGGTTCCGAGATGCAAGCGGAAAATAAAATGATAGCTACGAGAAAAAAAGGAAGTAATTCGCGCGTATCGGATACTTTGCGATCGCGGTATCAAGGAAGAGTGATAGTTGAAGCTCTCTAGAGATATATCATCCCTGCAGTCTTTTCCTACTAATTGCTAAGATAAGATCGATTATTAAATTGAATTAACGCATAAATAAAGTTTGTATTAGTTGATATATCGTGAATAGATCAAATTAAATGTATTACGCGCGTTAGGAAAGTATTTATTCATGTTGATACGCTAGTTTGAAATATTACTGCCAGGGAAGTAATTCTGTCCGTCGAGAAATTGTGGCTTTCAATTAAAACAAAAGTTGCTTTTTAAAGATTTCGACGAAATACTATTTCTATTCCTCTCCCTAAGAAATTGAATATAGGAAAAATATAAAAATGATAATTACAATCAACTTGTGAAAGAGATAATCGAGAGAGAAAGAGATAGACGGAGATCTGTTTTAATTTATAAATATATTGTAACGAGTTTGATTTAAAATCGCGAATTCTGCATCTATTAGCGTCCACTTTGTTATTGATCCAATCAGCTGATGCGAATGATAATTAGCGCGAATATTATCGACGGACCGATATCTTCCCTATACAGAGTTTCGTGCGAGAAATAGCGTATTTATATACACATATATATACATATATATGTATATGTAAGTATAAATTAAGCGATCGAAAGCACACACTCTCGTCGTTAAATTTCCCCATAGATGAAAATATATGTATAGCGCGTGGAGCTGGTCTCCGGAAGCATCGCCGTAGGAATCGTTAAATATTAATAAGGATAATAATACACGTCATACACACGTACACACACACACGTGCGAACGTTTCAAACGCGAACGATGTCTCGAGATTAAACCTGTAAAAGATCTCTGAGAAAGGATCGACGGGATATCCATCTCGCAAAGTTGTCAATTTTTTTATTCCCTTCAATTGGATAATTCGATTTGCAATCGCGCTAAATTGATTTATCTAGGCATTTCTATCGCTTTATTCGAAATTAAAAGATACACCTTTCGAACAGCCGTGCTTCTTAATATGTGTATCCGATTCGAATAGCGTTTTTACGAAGCGTAAGTGTATTATCGCGAAGTATCGGCTCTATTTCTATCAGCCTGTAAGACTAATTATAATCTCGAATCACATTAATCTCGATAACGTAATTAGTACCTGAATATTAAGTGCTCTAGGTACCTAATGCAATGAGCGATGACGTAGCGATGTCACTCGCTTCGTTATTTAATTATTCCTACTTTCTCGTATAACGTACTTTGCTACCCTAAACTATGTCGAAACTAAACATTATGCACGATGCGAACCACCGTTTTCCTTACGCAGTTGATGAAAATCGATAAACCGTAGAAAGTATCGCAATCATGTTTGCGGAGATTATAAGAAAGTAGTAAGTAAAATGTATAGGTAGATTATTTAGATCTCTGTAGTTGAATTTGTCACATTTTCCAATACGGTGTAATATCGGAAATATCGCATCTACTGGCAACGACAGTTGAATTTTATATAGAGAGAATTCGAGAGCGGATTATTATTAAGGAATTCTACACGTATGGAATTTCCTACACGATTTAATAAAATTAATATGGCAATGCCATATTGATTCAAAAGTGGAACAATCTTCGATTTATAAGATGAACAATTCGTATCACATTTCTTGCTCGAAAAATATCAAAGATCAGAATATGTTCTTCAGCGTTTTTTCTCGGCTGTACATTCATAAAAAGTTGTAATCTTTTTATAAATTGACGAAATCGTATAAGTAAATCACTCTTAGAAAATTAAAGAAGGAGTGCACGATATACGAGGTCAAGATTGAGTTCCAGTCACAATCATTTGCCAATTAAATGAATGGAGGAATTAAATCCGTCTTTCAATCATTTCACATCCACATAGCTATAAATTTACATTACGTGTAAAATTATATTACTATACATGTCTCTTATCATTGTCTAAATCTAAAATAATCTAAAAATATTGTGCGTGTAAACATGTTATATTTTGTACTTTTTAATTGGCCTCGTAGAACTTGTTAAAATTTCTGAACGTGTGCTTCCCTATATTGAAATAAAAAACACTGTTTTTATATTATAAATTACATGTAATTATCGGCGAGTATCGGGCGAATTTGTTAGATCGTAAAGATTGTAGTTTATAATGTTGCAGAGTCTCTCTTAGTCGCGTTAAAAAATATTTCTTTAAATCAATATGGATAAGGATCAAACGTATAAACGTCAGCAATCTTAACGTTCGTTATAAAGACTTTTTTAATATATATATATATACATACATATACATATATATATACATATTGACTTTTGATGTGATGAATTGTTTGTATACTGCCAATTTTTATAGGATATAATCGAATAATCGATTTTCAATGGTTCAATGCACACAATGAAGAATTTGCATGAGTAATTTTACGAATCCAGCAAAATGAGATTAATGTTTCATGTTGGGACATTTATAAATAATAAGATATTTTCTCTCTTTCCCAACTAGAGAGTTTTTCGCAATCATTAAATCGGGATTGTTAACGAATTTATAGTAGACAAATAGTTCACCTCGGACTGCAAACAATCTCACAATAGAAATTATTCGAGAAATTATATGACTTTGCGATTATGTATAGTTCGCATTTTTAATAATTTTTATTTCCTTAGTATTATAAATTTATTTCTCTGCTGCAGTTCACGAAACATATATTGATTGATAATAGATTTTATAAACGCAAGATGGATGGTTGAATTTTTCGACCTTTACATGTAAATATATATTTTTATGTAACGAAATGACAAAGAAATACACATATAAATAATTAAAAACAAGAATTAATACATTAAATTCGAGAAATTTAAAAGTTATAAAGATACATTTTTGACTCTATTATTATCAAAATTAATAAAATCATTACAATCATATAATATCAAGAAAAATTACAGAGATTCAAGTATTCATCATTATATATATATATATATATATATATATATATATATATATATATATATAAGTCTCGTGATAAATTTGCACGCGTAATATGTTCTTCAAAGTATTTATTTTTTTATTGTTTCTTAGTACTGCATCACATATAATCACAATGATACATACATAGATTTTGATTGATATTTATCCCACTTTAGTTGTCGATAAATTTTCCCATTTTTTATTGTTATTAAATATTATAATTTTCAGTACATAATTTTGAAAAATTGTGTGCGTATCTATATAAAATATAAATGTACAAAGAGTTAAACGCGTGCCTCGCAATGTTGTATGGCATTTAAAATTCTTTTAAACATTATACTCGAATTGTTTAATAACAATATTAAATACTCATAGCGAGTCTTTCTAGTTAGTAGACCGAAATCCGAGCTTGAAGGTATTTGCACAATCACGAAATTGCGTTTATAACGAAAATATCTCAATTTGGAATATCGTAATCCACACGTTGGAGGAATCTCTGCGATAATCACATTTAATGTTATATAATGTTATGCTTGTCGTCAATCGATTCTTAGAAATCGCGTAACTCCGTTGCCTTGTAAATATACCTAAGCAAGGTTCCCCTATTGTAACCCATGTTGAACATTTTGTAAAGTTTTATAAATAGTTCTACTAGTAGTTAAACAGCTGGACCAATAAAGTATATATCCGATTGTATGTGTTACGATTATTTCCGCTCTCCGTTGCCCTACTTGGCAATTTTGTAACAACCAAATCTTTTGTATTATCACATGTAATGTAGTAAATATTAATTAACTGTTAAAGAATTTTTTTACGCATCAATAATGCAGGATATTTAATTTTTAATAGTAGTTATATAAATTAATATTCATTTTTCAATTGTTAACATGGTATTTATATAAATTTTCATTTTTTATATAAATTAATTCATTTTCAACTGTTTCTGCTGCTGGGCTAGAAATTATTTATAAATGCTTCTTCATATGTCAAATTGTGTTTGATATGATTTATAACTACATATTATATACATTATATTATATACAAATAAAGATAATTTGATTAAAAGTTACATAAAATTAGTGCGAAAAAGATAAGAGAAATACACTGTGTATTTTAAATAATCCATTATTTATTGAAATTATATATAAGTATTTATTCCATCACAAGAATTATACTATGCGACTTCACATTATCGCGATAGAGATACTTTCTCTTTCCCAAAACAATATATAAATAAGATGATATATGAGAAAAAATTCGATATATCAGTAAAAACGCTTAAGAATATCCATGTCGAGAGGAATATAATGCGTGAGATCTTTTAATATAATTAATATAACCATCGATCTTTTTATCCTATAGTGTGAAATACGAATATGCTGCCTAGTTTTGCAATTTGCAAATACTTGAGGTGACGATAGAGCTCGAGATCTCCATTATATCACAAGAAAAAATTCGGCTCCGAATATAGCGTGCTGGCGAGTGGAATTCTGCGTGTTTTATTCCATAGACATATTCGTTGTATTTTTAGATCAAAAGAGAGAATGTACAATGTGAAGTAATGTCGGAGTTGTCACATCGATCATCGATATCCTATAAAAATCACTAAACGTAACTAAAAGCTAAATAGACTAAATGTTACGTTTCTTGACACATTACAATTTGCAGGCACATACTTTTCATAGTACCGAATATAATCGTGAGTGGTCAAATCAAGAAAGAAAAACCGAATTCACATAAAAAATTTATAGACATTCAAAAACAGACAGATATCTGCAATCTCTAATTGCGAGTGGACCCTTGTTTTGGGGTTGTACTTGTTGCTACATAACAATATTAATTCGATTCGTTAATTGCATAACAATGTAATATCTTAAATTTGCTCGTCAATTACATTACATTTAAATACATTCAGTGTGGCTCCATGTACGAACTCATCACTCGTCTCTTGTCGCCGATTAATAAATTTACAATGAAGTATGACACACTCATCTCTCGCAAATTTTTATCACTGCGAGAGGAGAATGTCTTCCACCACGAGATACGTAAAATTCTTTAAATATACTAATATTATTCCTTCATATACTGTGTTGGCATTTTATAAATATAAATAAAAAAATAGGTGATTTTATTTTTCTTTTAAATTAAAATATTCGAAATTTATATCAAAACTTCTCATATGATTGAACTCAGATTGAACTTAATTCAAATACAATAATCAGGGCTCATAAATGATTGGTTAAAAAATTGATCATATACATGTATTAAAAAATTAATTATATATATATATTTATTTATTTATTCAATTTTGCGCGACAGATATTGTAAAGAAAAATATTAAATTGATTCGAAATAATCGAAGAACATTTTTGTCGATTTTTCGCCTCATTTGATATAGAGATCTAAAAATGTATGTGCGTGCATATGTGCGTCCTATAGAGTGATCGTATAGAAATGGCTAATATAATCTATACATTAAAAAATCAGGTATCAATTGCAATTGTGCTATAAATTATTAGATATTATTATATATTATTTATGCGATGACTTGAATAATTCAGAAATTTAAAAAATTTATGTCAAATATAAATCGAGAATATTGTTTTTACTTTTAACGTAAAACAATGTTCAATTACAAGCCCTGATTACAAATTAACTAGTTTATTAAATAGTCTAGAATACTAGAAAAAAATACTAGACAAAAATAGAATTCTCTTAAGTTTTAAAAGTAAAATATTTGATTAAAACATTTTCTTCATCTATTGTTTCGATATATAGGGATTGAAATCAGTATTTTATTCAACTAAGTTTAAACTCCAATTCTCCATTCTCCACAAATCTGGAAAGTTTGATCCCTATGTCATTCGAAACCCTGCAAATGCGACAATTGATGTAGTGTTTCATTTTAGTGCGAGAAACTAAATTCAATTGAAACTGAAATTATACCGGTTTCAATCCTTGATTAAATAAGACAATTATAAGTTCCCTAATATTTTGTTCACATCATATGTAGAATAATTACCATGTAACAATATGTTACACACATATGCACATATATGTAACGCACTATTACGTATGCATTATGCATAACATGGCGTTTGTGCAAATAATCGAACACTTACATTGGACTATTGTACAGATATACGCATGTATATAGAATTAAGAGATACGCGGAAAGTATAAGAACACTCACTGTTCGTATGTCTTCTCTCTCCTCCCTTTCTCTCACATTACACCCGAAATATAACCGAAATTGTTCTATTAGACGTGTTTAATTCAATAGGCTCTCGCTGCTAGGCCGTGGTTTAGTAACCAGACTATGTAAGGCTCGTATTCCACTCTCCGTTAAATCCGGAGGCCCGAACAGAAAATCTCGTCGAGCACTCGGATTCGACAACAGGTCCCGCATGCTCTCGGTCGTAAGCACCCAAGAGTGTAGTGAGGTTTGCGTTAAATTTACTTTCCTAGCCAGTGTCCCAGTAACGTGCACATCGTCGATCCAGAAGTATGGCTCCTTCTGGGCTTCGCGATATAGTATAAATACACTATCGGGGGAGTATAAGATCGCCCATCCGGCACAGTACGTGGGATAAAGTCTACCGGGATACTCCTGAGGAGAGACGCGCCATTTTGAGCGCCAGGATCTCTTCACTGTGGAAGCCGACAGAAGATCACAGAGAATCAGACGTCTTGCACCCCACGGCGAGAGGCCACGCGTTAGAAAGTCCAGCATGGCCGGTAAATGAACAAAAACGTCATCGTCTAATTTAAGTATATATTTGGCACCTAAAACAATATCGAAGTTACATATGTGTATACATAACATGTTCATAACATATCGTATACATTAGAATAATCGATTATCACACGTGTGAATGAAGACTAGAGGAATAAGATATTATATCTAAAGAATAGTGTATTTTTTTAAGAGCGATAAGAAAGTGTGCCAAGTCGATATTTAATTATCTTGATTATCTCATTGTTAAGCTACTCCATGAATCCTGAGATACAAATATACATATAAGTAAGATATGTATGAAAAATTAAATAAAAATAAAATCAGACTATAGAATTAAGATGAGGCTATAAAACTTGAATATCATCTTACTTGGACAGTAATAAGTAGCCCACTTTAATCCCATAACGTGCTTGTAGGTCATGTTTCTATAGGCATCAAGAAAGTTTCCCTGTATTAAGTCTTGATATTTCTTATTCTCCTCCTCGAGCCTGGACTGATACTCCTCCGAGTATCCCACGAGAAACAATAAAGTCACGTCTGGCGCTTGTTGACCCCAGGTCTCTCGTACGACATGCCTCTTCGGGAAGTTTCCCGGCGCCGAATGAACCAACATTAGCAGCAACGGTTGCGTACGATTGCAGGGATTGTGGTTCATGATGAATCTGAAGTCCGTGATGTTGATCAGCGTGGTTTTATCATCGGACGGAAGTTCGTTTATCGAATAGGGTTGCGCGGAGGGCGTGACGTTTCCGGGAAATATAAGGATATATCCTGGCGCGGCCGCACCGCCGTTGAAGTAAGGGATCAGTGATCCTGAACCATCGATGTGAATCCAGAACGAGAAGCATCCAGTTAGTGCCAGAACGACCACGAAGATGAGGGTGCATGGCGACGTACCGGAAGCATGGAGCCGTCGCTTATCCAGCATACTAATGAGCCCCTTTCATCATACACGTTGGATTCTTGCTGAAAAAAATACGATGATGAAAACACAATCGATTAGTCGCGAACTTCAGAATTTGCGGATTATCGCGATCTCGCATACACAACTACCTTGTTATTGATAGCCTTGTTGAAGACTGCATTAATCTTATAAAGTGCACTTTGTGTTATATACTCTCTAAAAGTGAATCAGTGAAAATATCACTAATTTAAACAGTAAAAGTAAGATTTCTAAGAATCAGTGAGTATTTTACTGATCTTCAGTGGAAACGCTTATTTTTTCTTATTTCTTATATACGATTACTGGTTATTTTATCTTATATCTTATATACGATTACTGGTTTTACAGTGAAATCCACTGTAAAATCAGTAAATTTCACTGTAAAACCAGTAATCGTATTTAGTTTTAGTCATAAGAATTATATAAAGTTTGCAAAGAGTGACAGATAAAAATAGAAATATTACTTCGATTTAATTTTTGATACACTCTCAATAGAGAGATTTCAGATATTAAATCGATCTTATAAGTCGGACAAATGTCTGGCGACTTAATGAAAATTATTCGTTCGTTATCTATTTAAAATAACAAGTTCAATATACATGTAATATAAATAAAATAAAATCTTTAATATAATAAATATTTAGTAAATATAAATAAAATTTTTAATTTTATTTATATATATTTATTTATATTTATATATATTTATTTATTTTTATATTTATTATATTTATATTATATCTATGAAATATATTATATTTATGAAATAGATAGAGGGATGAATTGTAGTTTAATATTACTGGCAATAACGAAAGAATATTACTGATGTTGAGAAATATTACTAAGATATTACTGATTGAAATAATCAAAATTATTAACTGATTCTTTCAATAAAACATCATTGATTTACAGTGCTGTACAACTGCTGTAATCAATTATTTACTGTTTTTCAGTAATAATACACTGATTCACTTTTAGAGAGTACAAATAATAAAAATTTTTTTAATTGATATCTTAGAATTAGGAAGAAAATATTCGATTTTGTAAAATAACTGTAGATATCTGTATGCAAGAGTTGAACGAGAATTCAAGCGTTTATAAAATTTATAACATGTGAGTCTAGAAGTATTTTAATAACGTTATCTGATAACATTGTGCGCTGATACAACACAACGATTGAAATTAAAATCATTGTATAAAATGGTACGCATATGCTGATATATCTATCAAATTTATATGCTATAAGAAGCACGAAAAAATCCTGATTTATCCGATAAAATGATTATCTGATACATTTCTAATCACTTTTCACTTTTGACTGATACATCTTTTAATTATGTACAAGTCTTGCGAATCTGAAAAAAACCGTAGTCGAAAAATTAATCGAAGAAACGAATAATAGATAGTTTTTTTTCATTGTATACCGTACTTTATAAAGTTGATCAATCGTAAGATATGTTTAAACGATCGCCTGTCCGTAAGTTACGCATGTGATAATGTTCACATGCTCATTGATTCTAGATACAAAATTGTGTTTCTATCCGCTGCCGCGTGTATTATCGCACAATGTTATCGCACTATGTCACAATACATATCAAAATGCTGATTATGCGAATTAATTAAATTATATGTTACACGATTTCTGAACTAATACTTCCTTCTGAACTAATACTTCCTTCCTTCGAACAGGACTGATAATTTTTTATCGATTTGAATCATTAATGAAATGAGTTCCAATTATATATCTATATATTTAATTATACAATAAATATATATTATTAATATATCATATTTATTGTAAAATTAAATATATAATAAATATATAATAATAAATATATATCTATATATTTAATTATACAATATTAATTATACAATAAATATATATTAAAATTAAATCATACATTAAATCATATATATTTATAATTCATTTATTAATTATTCATATCGATGAAAAATATCAAGCATCACGAGGAAAAGGTCAAAAATAATTTTTGCAACAAGTAGCACGAGCAAATGCTGCGTATACTAATTTTTCGCGTGCATGTTCAAGGAGAAAGCGAGTTTTAAAAGTTTTATAAACAATAATAATCTTGTTTGCTCGTAAGCCGAGCCAAGTAAGTTGAAAGTATTAAGCGTTTGCACACAAGAAATTTCCCACACGAATCAATGGGAGACCAACCGAGCACACATCAGATGTATGATATATTAGCGAGCTATCGACACCAAGATAAAACTCTAAGCTGAAAATGATACATTCCATCTGATTCTAAAATCTCATCGATAAAAAAAAATCCGTGATAAAAAAACATGATATTATGACAATATTTTTCTTTTCGACGAAATCGATATAGAGATAATAACGTAATACGCGAATATCATCATTCATACTCATAGATAATGAGATATCTACATCTAATCTATGCTATTTGCTGTTTATGGTAGATAACATATGAAACGTTAATTGTAGATACGCTTGCAGACCTTCAGATACAAATGTCACGATAGCTGACGGTGAAAATAAATCGCGATGAATCAAAACACAATAAAAGCTATTTACCAAATAATTTCATTCACTAAATAATTTCACTTACAAGAGAGATTAAAATTAATTGAGAAAAAATATTTTCTCCGCCTGTGATAATAAAATACTTTTATATTTTTCACGCTCGCACAAATAATAAAATATTTCGCTAAATTATATTACGCAAATCGGATAAAAGATCCAAGGGTTTATAAAATTTATAACATATCAATACAAATTTATAATGTCTAAAAATATTTTAATAACATTACAACACAACACTTGAAATTAAAACTTATATAAAATGATTTATATATGCATTAGTATATCCATCAAATCTCTGTCTATGTTGTAAGAAGCATGAAAGAGAATTCCAATTTGTCCGATAAAACTGATATACTTTTAATCACTTTTGATTGATATATTTTTTAATTATGTACAAGATAAATCGAGAGTAGGATTGAGAATTGTGATAATTGTGATTAAATTATAAGATAAATTTCACTCGAGAAAAATTACAAAGAAATTTTTGTAACGATATTTATAAACTATACAGATAATTCGGTTCGAAAATCAATAAAAGTTTCTTTTTAACCCACTCGACATAACAATAACTAAATTTAGAGAGAATTAATTCTATGCGCAAATAGACGATAATCACAATTACGAATTCTCTATTAACTCTTGCGATTGCCTAATGTAAATATAGATAGAAATGTAAATATAGAAACTATGCTCATTTTAAGCTAAGATTAATAATTTAAGATAATTTAATATTATCGCTAATGACGATAGAGAATATCTTCTTTTAGAGAATTCGAGAAAACATTATTACACGAAATTTAAAATAACGACAAATGACATTATTGCGTCCACATATTTTCATCAGTCACATTTAAATTTATCACGTATTATAATTAAAAAATTATCATTTCGCAAAATTTTTTATCATTTTATTCTAAGAAAATTATGCACATCTATTTTTATATCAGCTTGTTGATCATTTGTTGATTTTTTCCTCAAAAGAAAAAAACACTTTCGATGACAGGTAAAGTGGTTTTAATACATATGATACTTCAAAAGTCAACGAGAATAACAAGAATATATTGTATTAGTCGAGAGATCGTAATTAAATTTGCTGATTATTTTCACCTAATAACTTGAGAATAAGCGTGCAGCTATGAGTTATGACAAGACGTGCTTTATGCTACCACTATAATTATCAAGAATGCAAGAATAGGAGGTGGGGGAGAAGGAAGGACAAGCAATTTGTGCTATATATTTTTCAGTCATACGTCAAGGTCAAGTGAAAAGTTCACGAACGAATAGCGACAGCACGTAAAGAATTTGTTCTTTAACATCAACTGACGTCTATAACATTAAAGTGGTGTGTTATTGAAAGACTATTTAATTTACGTTTGATCCAAGTTAACCTTAATTTGATGTACATCGGTTTCAGATTAATAAACGCTTTACGCGTCTTATATCGCAATCAATAATCGTACGAATGCTAAAGTATCTACTTTTTTAGATACTTCTAACGTTCTTCGTCTTTTCGCATGAGCTAAAATCAATAAGAACGTATGTAAAATCCGAGATAACATCGGTGAACGCAATTTGCTGCATTCATTTGTTAAACAAGACTTTCAGCCTCGCATATAAATTATATGTAAGACAAATCTTGTGTGTTTAATCTCGAGATATCGCGCTGCAATATGGCTATAATATTAGAGCTAATATTAAGATATAATATTACTGAGATGTAATATTACAATTATTCTTTCTTGACGATACAGCATAGCTATTTGCATTTATGTAGCTATTTTTTGTTGTCGCAAGACTCGCGTAATCTCTTTTTTTTTCAGAATATATAAGAAGTAAAAATTTAATTATATCTCTTCCAAATCTTGATGAATCTTAAATGCGATAAATTAAATGTCTATCAAAAGAATATCTTATCAGTTTATCAGCCTATCTGTTTATTATCTATTCAATTTGTTCTATCATTTCCGTTTGAATCAACAATAAAACAATAAAGAGAGCGAGATAAGACTTATTTTATGATGCAAATTTATTTTATCTTTGATATACTGATATATCAATTTTCTTTAAATATCTTTTTTTCACACATACATTTGTTTATCACAAAATCTTCATTACTAATGGTGCGTGCGTAATTAAACAATCTAATTAATTCAAAAGGATTATTCGAATCACTATCGGTTTATTCTTTCATATTTTATAGAACAAGACGATATTATTTTCGAATTCGCGTAATGCAAATGTTTCAACGCGAAATAATCGGACGAACAAGAACCGCTAATTTTCGTGCCGTATTACTATACAATTGTAATATAATCGCGAGTCGCAGCACGAATTTTCGCGGCTCTAAAATTCTATCAGGAATTGGGAATTGAGTGTATAATGTCAAAATTGTCAAAGGATTTTACAATAATACAGTTATTTATCATCATAGTGCACGGAATGCTGTGCATACAAGAGTCAATTGCTTTGATCCTTGAATCATCGGTTCCCGAGGTTGACATTATCGATCCGGAGAGTTCATCAGCACTGATAGCATGTTAGATATTAACACTTGAAAATCAAGCCGAGAAATTGTTATTGTAAATTTCGTCGTGTAAAATTAATAATATAAAACGATATTCTACAAAAACCCCCAAATGTGATAATATTGATTCGTGAAAATAAAAAGCCTGGATACTCTTTTGCGTATCTTATAAACTGTATATTATGATTCTTAGTATTTAACTTTATTTAATAAGATGCAATTAACGTTCAAAAATATTTCGTATCTAAGATACTTTAACAATTTTTTTCGATGAAAAGTATTCTTTTCGTATAATTTTATCTTATTTTTTTTCTTAGTTACAAGGATATTAGAATAAAATTCTTGATCGCAAGCAACACATGAGAAAAATTAACGCGCACTAAAAATCGATGTTAATCGATTAAAAAATTTGACAATAAACTGTATGAACTATCTAAACTAAATCTCGGAGAAACTTAACTTTTCTTTTAATTAATTTTATACATTATTACTTAACATTTACCGTTTGCAACGTACATTATTTGCAATATACATTACAGAGAATTTTACCTCAATTTCTCATCGCACATGCTTGAGTTTAATAAAATATCCACGAAGGGTAGACAGAAGGAGAAGAGAAGCATTTGCGCGGGTAAATCGCGCGTAGAAGACAAAATCCACGCGATTATTCGTGACACCCTTTAACGCGCGCTTAGGTTGCCGACCCTCGATATAGTTCGTTACATCGAGTCGAGAAAAATTGTTACGGGATGTTCCACGCACGCGCGAGAAAAAAAAGAAATCGACTGACGTCGAGTTTGCTTCTGAACGACTGAAACTGGGTGATGACGCACACCCTTCATCTCTCTTAGGTCCAACATGCGTCGCCAAACAACGTGACACCAGACCGGCGCCTGTCAGGGACGGCTGTGGAAGAAAGTATCGTGAAAAGCCGGAAAAACCTCGCGTCATCTAATCTAGCTCTATGAAAGGGATAAATAATTTTCCCTCGTATAAAAATGCCTACTCCACGCGAATGAATTTTGTTTGTCCCTTATTGGAGGAATATCATTCATTTATCAAATTAATTAGATAAAGTATCGAATAAGAGGAAAAAATATAAAATTGAAAGAGAAAGTTTTGAATTATATTTTTGTTATCTAGCTCTATGAAAGGTATAAATAATTTTCCCTCGTATAAAAATGCCTACTCCACGCGAATGAATTTTGTTTGTCTTTTATTGGAGGAATATCATTCGTTTATCAAATTAATTAGATAAAGTATCGAATAAGAGGAAAAAATATAAAATTGAAAGAGAAAGTTTTGAATTATATTTTTGTTATCTCGAAAGAGAAAATGTATTTACTATTTGTTTTATATACGAGACCATCGAAAAATTAATAATTTCTAAGTGAAATCATGTCGCGGGTTCTCTTGCGAGCAATTAAAGGACTGAACGATAAATTTTATTAGTTTCTATATAAATACGTCCTTGGCTGTACCATAAATAAAGAAGGTCTCGAAGAAACATATAGGATGTCTAAGAATAAGATCGTAAATCGCGTTGACAAAAATATCTGCACGCTAATTGACAAAAAAAAAACAAATTGCACAAATTTAGAACGATTGGAATGATTAGAGTGCCAAGAGAAAGAATTTTCAAACAAACACGATTTTTCATTTAAAATATTTCATTCTTCTCGTCAGAATATATCAATTAATAATTAGATCGGAAAATGTATCATATTTTTTCTTTTTAATTTTAATTTTTTTTCAATCTTTCGATATGAATAAATCATTGATCGAGATATCGAAGGCTATAAGTTATTAACCCTAATTGATACCAATCATTTCACAAGTAGCATTCTTAAGCTGATCAATGACCAATTTACAATGACCAATTTATATATATTAGTTACTTACTATTTGACACGTTCGTATCGAACAATTGTATAAACTGGACCATCATCCACGTATTTCAAAATAATTTTTGAAATGATTTATTCCTCGACCAGTCGTGTAACAAAAGCTTCGATATCACGCAAGAACACTCCCGTCAATATTTCATTTTGCGTTACATGTAAAAGGGCTTTCAGCGCGATTTACGACAAGGCGCGGTAAAGCGTATCCCTCAAAGGGCGGTTATTTAGAACGCGCGAAATCAAATATGGAATTTTCGCGCGACGAGACGACCTTCGAAAAACCCAATTGTCGATCGGAAAGAGAGTTTGAAACAAGAATCGTCTGACCGCACCTATGATTTATTCATCGCATTCAATGTTTTCGTGTCGCGCATTACAAGAGTCCACCGAGTCTTCCTCTGACGAGTCAGAGTGTTGACACATGAAAGGAATCGATGCGTGACTTTCTTTTGACGCATCTAAGAATGCACGTTCTATGACGAATTTCGAAATTCTTTTCTACAATTATTTACAAATACGATTCGGTCTTTGTTTTTTATTTCATTTCTATTACGACACATTCAATGTACCGAGAAAAAATGTTACGATCGTAAACTGAACCATGATATTGAATTTTACTTTGTTATTTTTCAATTTTCAGTGATTTTGTTATTTGTCAATTATTTAAATTTTCATGAAATACTATTAACAGCGAAATATTTTCAAGATAAACGCACAAACTTAATCTTGTAAAATTTTCCTTATAATTCTCTTAAATTATTAATAATTGTATTTCGCTATTATCTTAAATTATTAATAATTATATTTCTCTATTTGTTAATAATTTTCTTTATAATTATTTCCTTATAATTTTCCTTGTAGTATTAATCATATTAATTGTATTCCGAGGAGAAGAATTTGATCGTCACACGCGATTGTCGTGCGAAAAAAGTGCCTCATTGAAATTGAAATAAGACGAAATAAGGTATAAAAATAACGCACAAGGAAATGTAAAATATTACTAGTAATATGAAATATTACGATCTTTTAATATGCGCTGTGTTTAACAATCTTGGAATAAATAAAATTTTCCTTATAATTATCTTAAATTATTAACAATTATATTTAATAATTATATTAAATTATTAATAACTATAATTCAAAAATATCTCAATATATATTATATTTATTTTTGTAAAATTCCTTTCATAAAGAGCGCAAAAAGCCGACGCCGAATTCATTAGAATGTATGTCTCGGGACAATATTTGCGCGCGTTTCTCGTCCCACGACATTATGTATAAAATAAACTTTCGGCTTGTTTGTTGCGACATTTCGAGCGAAAAGGGCAGGGCCAGTACCATAACTAGATTGTAGCGAGTATCCAACATTTCGAGTACAATTCTTGGTCGAACAATTCAGGACGCCGGGCGTGTACGATTATTGATCCTCGGGATATCTAATAACTATTTTCTTTAATAACTATGTTGCGATATGCGCAAGGTGGATTGCGACCTTGCGTAATACGCAGACGTTGCGATAAATTATGCATTTTCTCATTAGGTGCATTCAAGGTCCTTCATTCTTGTCACTATTTAGCGCGATGTTTTAGCACCAAACGCCGGTTTCTAATTGTCTTATTTATTCAATGGAAAGATCTCGCTTCTTCGCATCGAAATCGATGTGAAAAGTTGGAAAACTGATTGTGAGACTCTTCGAATTTCTACGTTTCGTGCATACTCAAAAATAGTTTTGTTTCGAGCGAAAACCGACCTGAGTGTATTTATATCCGAGTTTTATATACACGTATATATATGTGTGTATAATCGTTTTTCGAAAAAAAATATGCATATATATATGTAAAAAAATATTAAAATACAGATAAAATACAGATTTTTGTTATCCTATTTGTAGATTTACTGAAAAAGTTTAATAATAAATATTTCTTAGAATATTGACGAAAATTTAAATGAGATTTCTTATTTTCAAAGATATAATTTAAGTCACTTCAGATTAACTTAATCAATGAATCATTCAATTGGCAAATGTGTTTACACACACGATAAAAATGCCTTTTGGCTACATTTGTCATTCCTAATCTTTCAATCTGTCAAATAAAATAAAAAAGTAATAATCATATGTTTAACAAAACTATCAGATATTACTGATATTATAAATTCATTAATCGGAATTATAAATTCATTAATCGGCGAAATTTTTATCGCTTTCGCTTCTAAAAATTCTAATAAAAAATTGAGATCCTTTCGGTAAGACTCCGATTAATGAATTTATCAGTTTTAATTGAGATTTCTTATTTTTCGAGGATAATTTAATTTAATTCAGCTCGAATTAATTTAAATGGCAAATCATCAAAAAAAACAGAAGCTTTTTAACATGGAACATTTTTAAACGAGAATTATAAAAAAGCATTTCCATTTTAGTCAACATTTTTCAACCGGAAACACCCAGATCGGCTTTCACTTGAAACAAAAACGTATTTTGAATTTGCTCCAAACAAACATCCGCCTCAATTTCGAAACAGAAGCAGAACAGAATTTTGCATTTGATTTGAATTTTGTATACATGTAGGATTTAAGGAAAAAAAACACACACAAAAAGAGATGTCGCTTCACGAAAATGCCAATCTCTGATCCTTCAAAAAAAGAAAAAAAGAAAAAGAAAAAGGAAAAAAGAAAGAGAAGAACGTTAAACCGGAGAACAACGGAGGAAGCGGAAGATACAAATTCCCGACGAGACAAATTTCTCTCGTTACATTTCCGCGAACGAATCTCGGAGCGATTTTCGCGCCTTCGGCAATCAAGGACGCGTCAGATCGGAAAAAAAGTGCGGACGTGAATATGACCGCGTTACACCATATGCGGCAATCTAAATAAAAGCCGACCAGGCGCGAGATACTCACAAGTCGCATGTGGTAAGAAACTCCGAGACCTCATCAACACCCGTCGCGACTGCAGAAATCGTGCCACGCACATTCGGAACCCCGGTCTAGCCGCGGAAAACACACTCGTCGAACGACGCGACACGAGTCGCCGACGGTTTGAGGTTATATACCAGAGGGTGTGAGTCGGAAGCAAGTGAGAGAGGAAGAGTGGGAGAGAAAGCGAGCGCGGGAGAGAGAGAGAGACAGAGAGAGAGAGAGAGAGAGAGAGAAAGACGGGGAGCGCGAAGGAGGGAGAGAAAGAGAGAGAGAGAGAGAGAGGGAGTGTTTTCTTGCGGAATCACCTGGTCGCGCACGCACGCACATCGACGAACGTGAGGAAAAAAGCACGCGGCGACAACTGTCATCGTCCGCGCGCGCGCGCGCGGATGTGTATGCGAGTATATATGATACGCGTCGATTATGCAAGAGCGCGACCAGGGATAAAAAAGAGGAAGGAATCTCGTATTAAACTACGTACTCAGAAGTGCGTTTTCTTTTTTTTCCTGACGCCCCTCATCTTCCTTCCACGGTGCGGCGCGCGTTGCTCTTTAGAGACGACCGTGTCACTCGAGTTGACGCGACCGTAGTAGACGTCACTCCAACCGGCATGCGCGGAGAAAGGATTCGCTATAGACGGCGATCGGGGAGATGAAAAAGCCGGCGGCGAAATCGCCGAGAGAAAGGGGGAGGGGGAAAGGAAAAATGACGGCGCTGAACGCCACCAAAGTCCATCGCCATTTTCCGGAACCTTGTAGCAATCTTCGTCATTTTTTTATCCATCGATATACGGGCTGCTCCTCCGATAAGTCGCGCTTTGATCCCGCGAATAAATTATATTACTCTTGCGCGCGCGATTTCCCTGGGAAATTAATTTTTTCACATTTGTAGGCCATGCGCTGTCAAACGAGCACGTGTCTCGTGCCTCGCTCCTTTCGCGCTGAATAAATCGACGTGAACGAAACAAATAAAAATCAAACAAACTTAACTTCATACGCCCTCGAGTAGAAAATTATAACGAGAGCGATCGTGTTTCCTTAACGATTACAATCGCTCGAGTTAAGATGAAAAAAAATATATATATTTTCGTCCGCGTTTTAATAATCTTAAACGCGAGTGTATTTATAAAAATGTGCATTGAAATGATAGGAAATGGTCCTTTTGTAATCTTGGACGGGGATCGATTTCGAAATTCCCGCCAAACGCGCGGGCCGGTCGCTCGGTTCGTGCATGAATTGAATGCACGCGAGAGGAACTCGGGCTAACTCGAGCGTCCATGGCGTCCCGGACCGCCGCTCCTGCGGGACGCGCGAAGCGCAGGGCGCATGCCCCGGGCGGTTTATTATCTTCTTTCTGTTCAAGTGCCATTTCGTTGCATGCAGTGCAGTCTATAAAACAGAATGCGTTCCCCGCGGGTCTCGAGTTTCCTATCACTTATCGTCATTCGTAGCGTATAAACATAACAGCACGCGGTCATTAGCTCGATTCATATTGTGTTTACGTATCCGTTCTGACACATGGGAGCGCGGCCGGAGCGCGGCTAAAATCGCGTCCGCTTCCATCGTCCACGGCGATCGTAAAAGACGAGCCCGGATATCCGTTCGTGGCGTCCCCCAGGCGTCATCTAGAATATCCGATCCGGGATCTCGCTGACGAGCGGCCGCGCAAAAATGTCATCCAGCTACGCGGACGGGTTATCACCGTACGAAAACAAAGGAGTGTTGGGCCTGGAGGAGGTAAGAGGGAAAAAAAGAGAGGAAAATACTCGGCGAGGTGAAATCTTCTTCTTTTTTCTGCCTTTCGTCTTCGCGACACCTCGCGAATACGCGTGAATGACGTTTGATTCGTTCTGTCGCGATCGAGCGGGAGAATGTTGTTTTTTTTTTTTTTTTTTTTTTCCGTTTCTCTCTTCCTTTCTGCTTTCATTATCCTTGCTTGCAGAGATACGACAGCGTTGAGACTCTTCGGCTGAAATGCGGCCTCCTGGCCGACTGGATACAGGGCGCCCGTCACGTCGTGGTCCACACCGGCGCCGGTATCAGCACCGCCGCGGGTATCCCCGATTTTCGGTGACTATCGCTTGCCGATTTTCTCGAGACTCAATTTTTCACTTGTCCCCGTCCTCTGTCCTCTCCCCTTCCGTTCGAATTCGCCTGTGTCATCTCCTTCTGCTGAAGATAGCATTTGACATTTGTATACAGGGGTGTGATACACGAAGAATCTTGAAGCGTAAAGATCAAGTATGAGATGTAAAACAATGCTAAGCTGTTGATTCATAACTGTACATGTAAAAAAATTTGTAAAAAAGAATCTTGGCACTATATGATGATACATGTCATGATACATGTTTAAAATGTATAAACATATGTCATGATACATGTTTAAAATATATAAACATATGTCATGATACATGTTTAAAAGGTATAAACATATGTTTTTAGAGCTTTTCTAAATAAACATATGTTTTTAGAGCTTTTCTAAATAAACATATGTTTTTAGAGCTTCTCTAAATTGCAAATTTTGTAACTCTTGTATTGGAATTACAACAGGTGAATGTGAAAAATCTAAACAAAAGAGCAAAGCTTGATAATTATTTATAGAATACATTCAGTAACAATAAATTAAGAGGAAATTCAATAAGATTAGAATTTAGTTTAAAATGTATTGGCTCATTTTTTGAACAATATCTTCTCTTAGGGGTACAAATGGTGTATGGACATTGGAACAAAAAGGTTTAAAGCCTTCCATGAACATTTCCTTTGATGAAGCAATTCCTACAAAGACACATATGGCATTGAAAAAATTGATAGAGGCCAGTAAGTGTCGACCAATGAAAAAAGCTACAAAAACTTTAAGATTTTACAATTATTTTTCTGTATCTGTTTGCTACAAGATTTTTCTTTTTTTAGAAAAAATAAAATTTATCATAAGCCAGAATATAGATGGATTACATCTACGGTCGGGAATATCGAGGCAACATTTAGCAGAATTGCATGGAAATATGTTTACAGAACAGTGTGATAAATGTGGCAGGTTTGTACATAAATGTATGAGTAAGGATATACATATATAAAAGGATATACATATATAATTGCATCTTTTTACTTTTATAAGAGAAATATATAAAAGTAGTCAATATAAAATAATTAAAAAACCGGGTTAATCACAATAATTATAAATAATAATAAAAATATTCTATTACTGAATAATAAAAATATTGAGAATTCTTAAATTACTTCACAGGCAATTTATTCGTAATTTTGCGGCCAAAAGTGTGGGAAAAAAATCTTTAGATACTGTATGCAGATCAGAACAGATAGGCGGTCGTCCGTGCCGTGGCCGAATGCACGATACTATTCTTGATTGGGAGCATAATTTACCAGACAGTGATTTGACATTGTCTGATTTACATTCCAGGTAAATAATAATATTCTGCATCAATATTTAAGAAAATTGAATCATATTGGTATCTGAAATTATTATACATACAAACTTTATTACTATTATTACTATTTATTACTATTTTATATATATATATATATATATATATATATATATATATAACACGTGGGTGTGTGTGTGTTATATTTATTTATTTATTTTAATGATTATATATATATATATATATATATATATATATATATATTATAATCAAAAATTATAATAAAAATTATAAGTAACACAATTCTGGTGTGGCTTTATGTGTAATATAAAAATTCTCTATGTGTATGTATGTGTGTATGACCAATGCTCTAGTCACATTATCTATCATCATGTGTAATATTTAAAAGCTCGCGTCCTTTTAGCGTTGCCGATCTAAGTATATGTTTGGGAACAACGTTACAAATTATTCCAAGCGGTAATCTACCTTTGTACACGAAAAAATATGGAGGTCGTCTTGTTATATGCAACTTGCAACCAACAAAACATGTAAGATTATATCGCACTAAATATATATAAAAATATGTTTTGCGCGATTTTGTTAAAGTACAACTGAAATAAACTGTCATTACAGGATAAAAAAGCTGATTTAATTATTAATGGCAATGTTGATGAAATAATGGTCGCAGTCATGAAAAAGTTGGGATTGGAAATACCGGAACATGAAAGCACTATGGATCCGACACGAAATCCGGACACAACGTGTAAAGAAATGGATTGGACAATTCCAACCAGCAGAATAAAAGAGATGAATATGCTGTATAAAAAGGTGTGCAAGCCCATGCGAAGGAAACGAAAAACATTTATGTACGAGAGAGAGAGACCGGATATAAGGGAAACTAAAGCCAGAAAGCAAGCATTTACAATGAAGCAAGAAATCAAATCAGAAGATAATAAAACTACATCAAATGAAGTATGTAAAACTGGAAATGATCACATGATTAAAAATCCTGTTAAGATAGAAGACAAGGTAGAAGATGTTGAAACATATAGATATTCGATGGAGGGCACAACGGAGCATAACACTGATCTGCAAATGAACCAAACAATGTAGCAAGTTGTAATGCAGCGATAATTTTCCATTCTAATGTTTCAATTATTCTCAGTGTATGCTACAGTTACTTATGAGTGCATATCGAATCATTCATTGTATGTGAGAAATCCAAAAGTGGAATAGGTTTGCCGACATTCAATAGAAACACTTGGAACATATTCATTGCATATTTAATATTAAATATAGTGTTTTTAATATAGTTTCTCTCCATTTTTTAGCTTTTTATTTATACAGACATAAAAAACAGATTCTTAAACAATATTTAAAATAAAATTATATTTATTTTTATTATTTCTACATGTTTAAATATTGATATCAGAATGCATGCAGAAAATAATTATCTATGTGTTGAAAATATAATTTTTTAATTTGTATAATCTTGCAAGTGCATTCTAATCGTAAATAAAATAGTCATTTAACATTAGATATGCAATGAAAATGTGAGTTCATAATTTTGTTTACAGAACATGTCATTTACGATAAATATTCCAATAATTGTATATACTTTTATTAGTATCCATAAAGTATTGTGTTTATGCTGCATCTGCTTTTTACAACTCGCCTATATATCGACGCATCTTAGATGTGTATTACAGCGAGAGATTCGACGTGAATTAGTTAGATCTCTCGATGAGCAACGTGTTCCAGATTTCTCGTGCATAATATGATACTTTTTCCACTATAGATTATTATAAGATAATTGGATAAAAGAGATCTTCCTATATATATAACATATTTCGCCAGTAAGAACTTCCATAAGCTTTTTTTTTAATTGAGAATAGCTAGATTTGAAGTAGTTGCCGAATGTAATAATAAAAATATTTCAGATATATATATGAGCTGCTTAATAAGTGTATAATTTATGCTCATTAATCATCAAAAGTAATGTGTGTGTGTGTGTGTCTCAGCTATATTTTTACATTATTTGCTGAAGAACTTCCATATAAGAATTTTCATATATATATATATATATATATATATATATATATATATATATATATATAATCTTTCTATTCCCTTTTAGAATTTTTTTTTAATTTCAGTAATTTCAGCAATTATATATAACAATATGTAGCTTTATTAGAATCATTTTAAATATTTTAGACTGAGAGAAAATATAAATCATTCATTAAAATAGAATGGCCTTTTAGTAAAATGGCATTATGCATAAGTAATTGGATTATAAAGAAATTTTGTTTCTGCTGGCGATACACTTCATATAACTCTCCTAAATATTGCTTGCATTAATACACACAGACATATTATTCCAGGCTCCGGACGTGTGCGTTTAATTGTCCTTAATATTCAAATGTGTTCGCCTTACAAAAATTGACAACGCACACAAGATCGATTTACGAATGCGCGTCATACTGTGTTATAGCGCGCGTATTTGTGTAAGGTAAAAAAAAATATAGCACTATATTGCTACAAGCTGATGTTAGATTAACTGGTAAATTCAGATGTTGAATTTTTAACAGAGTGCGCCTTTTTCCATATAGTGTTGAAGGGAATGTTGAAAGTAAAAGTTTTAACGATATCTCGCAGTTAGTACGCTAAACGATTTTCGCGTGTAGAAATGATATAAGCTGCAACGTATAGGATGCATTCTATGATAGAATGCAACGTAGCGAATCATGTAATATTTATATTGTACATAGTGATGTTCGCTTCACTCTCATCGTAATACATGACTTTATTTAAGTAATCATTATTACTCGCCAGATATAATATTCGAAATAAAAAGTACATCCATGAAAAAGATTCTGCAATGTGTGTGTGTATATATACAATATATTCTCCAGTTATATATATTCCCCCTCCCCTTGTATTCACCCATAAAAATTAAATGTGTAATTTTTAACACTTTGACTCGATAAGAAAATTATATTGTGTGAGACATTTAATACCAAAAGATAGATAAATTATATTTTTTGTAATGTGTAGTAAAAAGGATTCATATTTATATTTTATCAGAATTTCACGCAAGTATACCATTATACAAAAATTAACAGTGTTCCCTAGTATTGAATTGAGAATGTCCCTAGAGTGAATTACATTATACATATATATATATATATATATATATATATATATATATATATATATATCATAAAATTTATTTTAGTAACATGACGAAGCTGATGGCGATAATACAGATATCTTGATCACAAAAAAAATTATTTCTAACATTATTAATACTTTTTACTTATCTTTTCCAGGGAATATGAATCTTTTATTGCTTTCATTGCAAAAGAATATCACAATTTGCCATATATAAAAATAATAATATGAAAACAAATAATTATTTTAGTTTTAATAAATAATTATAATTATACATTCCTTTAAAAAAAAAATATATATATATATATTTTTTTTTTTATTATATAGATATTAATATTCCCTCATTCGTTACAAAATAAATTGATATACATATATGATATATCGATTATACAAAATATTATTTATACATATTATTTATGCATATTATTATACAAAATATTATTTATACATATTATTTATACATATTATTTATGAAATAATCGTCATTTAAATGTTAAAGTCATTATATTTTTACGTTTTGTTTCATTGTCAATTTTCATCTTAAAATTGTGTAGCGTGTCATTTATAGCGAGTCGTTAAATATACTTGCTACAAATGTATTCGAACAAACCGTTAACGAGAAAGGAAATATGAATGTCATAAACCTTTTATAGTTCTTTTTTTATTTTTCTTTCCGAAAAATATTTTTCCCAATAGCAAAAATGACCGTTATAGAGAATCTCTGCTCTCTGGGGGAGTCACAGTCGTAAAGCGTCAAACGATTGAAAGCCCCTTTGTACTCTTTGAGGCTCCTTCGCAGTTAGTAGAGAAGAGACAATCGCTGCCGTAGAAGTGATCACTCGTGCGTTCCTATTGAGATCGCTCGCACAAGCTCCAACGAGCTGCATCCAGCTAAGTTTAAGGTTAAATTTTACCGTCCCGATTCGAATTAATACTCTCGGAGATTAAGAGCATCGAAAGGATACAGAATCTGACATGGAGAATAACGCAAGCAGTATCGCAAAAGGTATCTAATAACGTTTTACGTGATCGCACTTGCACAGACAAAATTCTTTTATTCGTTTACATTAATTATAAACATTTTTTTTAATTGTATATATTTTTGTACTTGTGCGTCATTCGTATGTGTTATAATCGCGAAGACCAAGTGATTTTAATGTCAAAAAATTTCTCAGTTTTTTTTCGTCTTTATATGTCTAACGGAATACAAAAGCTATATACGTTTGTGTGATAAAGGTGATCTAAAAAATTATTTTCTAAAAATATTTAAAAAAATCTAATCGTCTAATTTACATCATATGCATAACGAGAAATAAACTTTTATCTTGCACTATATCGTTATGTGAAAATAAGTTAATTTTTTCATATTGTTGTTTATATTTTTTTGAGAGATTTTTATTGTTCATATTGTTTTTGAGAGATTTTTTGTTCACCAAATATCACAATCTAAAATTTTAATTTTTATCTACTTCATCGAATGTATTTTGTCGAAACGAAAAGTGAAGTATTTTTTTATGCAAAATTGAACATTTATTTTTAGGAGGATTCTTTGTCAGTTTCGCGAAAGAAACGTTTTAATATTCTTATATCGATTCAGCCTCGCATCTACGAATATTTTCCTCGACTAATGCTGCAATACATATTGTGGTTTCGTTTTATTGAACGCCGCAATTGCTAATGCTATGGTAATATTTTTTTTACTACGGGATTGAAAGATTTAACACGTGTCGGTCAACATCAAACGATGTTGATAATAACGCCAACCGGCACGTTAAATGTATCGTACACCGCGTCTCATGTTTCCAGTTATCACGAATTGCTCGAGTCTTGGATATCTTTTACGATCGATTTTTCATTTCACATTGATTCCTGTAAGAACATTAATTAAATAAATTGACTTCGTTATTGTCGACGAGTTATGCATAACGCGCTTGTTACATTCTTTCGAATTAATAATGTATCAATTATTATATTGTTCATATTTTATTAAATAGAATTATATATTAAATAAAATTATATCTAAATTTAGATAAATCAAGTTATGATGTTATAATTAAATCTATCAAATTATAATTAATATTTATAATGACTTAATATATATCAGTTATTGTTTCCTTTGTAAGATTGTAGTTTATTATCAGTGCATTAGTCACATTATTTCTTCATGACCGCAACCTTTTATTTAAAAAAACTAAATCGTTTATTTAGCGATGACATGTTTAGCGGAATTAATTTTTAAAAACAAGTATTACAATAAATATTGATTTAATTATCTGTTATCTATTTACACAATATAAAATATAATATAAATTCAATAAGATATAAATTCTTCAGTGCACGCGTACAGCATCTAAGTGAATCGAATTGACAACGGATATGTTCCGCTTATACAGCTTAATCTAATCTCTAAGAATTGTATATATATATCACTTTACAACTGACTCGCGTTTCTTCTTTGTATGGTATCAGATTAATTCTTTTTAAATTTTTTTACTTGATCTCATATTATTCTCCTCGTAGTCAGCATATTTGTTGTATTTATCTCCTATATCTATCTCTATCAATTTTCAGATTTTTTATTGATATAATATAAATTTTATAGCTCATGTGTTTTCTCATAGTATATTTGTTCGCATGTAGCTGATTCTAAATCTATCGATTTTCTTTTAAATCGTAAGATTTTTGCTGACGTTATGTTCAGTACTATACACGGTGTTTCATAAATGGGCAAAATTTCAGGAATGGATTCCTCATGCTTAGAGAAGAAAAAAAGTTAATCGACATAGGCCCGGAAATGATTAGTTTTTGAGTTATTAAGATTTTTGTAATACAAAATTTTGTCTCATTTCTCGTCTTACAATTAGAAGTCCTTTTACAGACATCAACAATGTTTTTCAAGTTCGGCCTGAAAAACATTGTTGATGCCTGTAAAAGGACTTCTAAGACGAGAAATGAGACAAAATTTGTATATAAACATACAAATGCATATAACAAACAGTATTATATTTATATTTAATTTATTTGATTTTAGGTATTTAATGATATAAATCTTGAAATTTCTTTTCTGGTTAATTTTATAATTTTTGCTTTTTCCCCATTTTTGCCTCTCTTTTCTTTTCCAATAAAATAATAGTAGTATAATAAAATAGTATATTTAAAAAAACATACATTTTTATATATAAGTTGTTATTTTTTAGTAAAAGTTATAGAGCTTTTTAAATGATTAATATTACACGTATGTGCACATTATTGAATAATTTATTATATATATGTACAGAAGAACTTCAACATAAAACTCACCAAATTATTCAATAATGTGCACATACGTGTATATTAATCATTGAAAAAGATTTAATATAATTTTTGCTATATATACAATATGTGTCTGTGTCTGTGTGTGTGTGTATTTATATGTATGTATTTATGTATATAGATTATGTATATAGAACAAAATTACAAAATTTTTCTAAGTTTGAAAAAATAATGATTAGAATGAAAATTTATATTGATTATGTTATAATCTTTTTTTATCATAAAGTTGTTTTATTTTATTCTCTTTTATTGTTATACTAATTTACTAATACAAATAAAATTAATTTTACAGAAGACCAATACATAGGTGCGTTCTTAAAAAACGGCATAATACGTGGTATTACATACCAAATAAAATTTTTAACATGGGCGACATGGAAGATGATATCCAAGGAAAATGCAAGTAAATGGTGGTTGGGTTCGGAGGTATACGAGGCCCGAGGATTTCATGATTTGGTTTTGAAATATGTTAATGATGCCGTAGATGAAGACGGAAAAACCTCCGATAAAAAATATATGTACCGTTTTGTACAAATCAAGCACATGGCGTGTTTGACCGGAGGCACCAAGATCTCCATGCATCATTTATTGTCCGTAGAAAAAGAACAGTGTCAATACAGTCTTTTGTATTTATTCAAATCTTACGTCAAAATGATCGGCAAATTTGAGAATATAACGCCGGAACAGATTGTGGACATGACGGTCTTTACAAATAGGAATATTCATAGTTCACTGGAATTTTTAGTGCCTGTAGACAACGATGAGATTTTCAGCTTTGAAGGAAAGGGTAAGCGATATCGCTTTAATTTAGACGTACTCCGAACAATATCAAACCCGATAATAAAATATTTACGAACAATTTCTAACAACGAAACATATATATGGGACTTCTTAAGCAAATTGGTATTCGCGGTGGGCCAACCCTCCGAGCCCGAATTAGAAGAACTTGTTGTCAAAGATATGGGCAGGGTTTACAATACGCCGCAGATCTTTTACAATGATTTGTTTAAAAATGTTCTCGATTGGTTTCTTATTCTTGAGAAAAACCGTGCGCCATATCTCACTGAAGAACGGGTGAGAAACCAACTGAAGAAGCTGGAAGATATGCTGTTGACTGAAAAAGAGACAACTACACATATTACTGCCGATTCACTGACTCTCTCAAACTTGTTATTATCATAAAGTTATCTTTATAGAAATTGTAGCTCTCTCTTGGTAAACTTTTGTGCGCTTTTATGAATATATGATATAAAATTTCCTTTTTTTATCTCTAAGAGAGAGAGAGAGAGTGAGTGAGTGAGACACGAGAATATAATTATTTTTTAATATTTGTACTCTATCTTTTTATGTCTTTGTGTTTAATTTAAGATTCTTAGCTCTTCTTTTATTTTATAACGAAGTTACCTATCTTAAATCATTATCTATTATTATAGATAAAATAATAATAAGATAGAAATAATATTTGTTACACATATATTTATATTTATTATATTTATATTCATTATGTTATTAATCTATTTTTGTATTATTTGGAATTCCATATAAAGGTGTTATTAAGTACACTATTTCCATTAGTATCAATGATACTCTTCGGAAGAAGATAATTCAAATATTATTTTTATTTCATGCACATACATTTATTTGAAAGAGCTAGAAAATATAGTGTCGAATATAAATTACATTATTAGTTTTTAAAGACTTATATTTTTAAATTTTGTTAGGATTCCATTAAATGGTTTTATAACTATAATTTTATAATATAACTGTTAATTTAGAATGCTTATTCCGAAATTTTATGCGTGCCAAGAAAAAAAATGTTATTTCTAGATTTTTTCTAGACGAGCTATGAATTTCTTAATTTTTTAAATAAGACAACGGATGAAAATAAACGATGATTATGCATATCGTTTAATTGTATACGTTTATTTATTATTCTAGGTTTAAATTAGAGAATACAACTTGTCCATGTACACGTGCGCTACAATGATTACTTGATACCTTAGAGCTTTCGTAATAGTCAAGAAAAGTCGCACTCGAAAAAGATTCAAATGGATTCATCCGCTTCGATAAATATAGCTTTCCTTCGTTCGCCTACAGCATACCTATAAGGGCCTTAATATATCGGCGCACGTGATATGTTTACCACAGAATATTTTTAAATTCAGTCCCTTTATACATGTATAAAAAAATCTAGCTTTTTTTATAAACAAAAAAGGTGATGTTTTATGAAAAGGCTGAATTTTTTTAGTACAAAGATTGAACTTGCAAACATCCTGCGACAGAGACATCATAAAGACAATGCGCCACAAGACGGGATCAAGAACGATGTTGACAGACAATTATTCTCGACCTCGGTTTTGAACTGATTAAAACCGCATTATAGCCATGTGTACAATCGTCTTCGCTATAAAACTATGTATGTTTCAGAATATGATGATTGAGGAAAAGGAAAAAGAGGAGAAGTTGACTCGAGGAAAAAATGTGATGTAAGTGGAGACAGAAGGGAAGGGGATATAAGATCATGTAAAGGCATAAACGAATAACAGAGTAGAGTAGGTGAAGATAAAAAGGTGAAGGAATAGAAAATAGAAATTATTTTCCTTTGGCCTAGTTAAATCCGCCATCTATTCGTCTCAATCGGTCTAATCCAACTATCTATCTACGTCAATAATGAAATTAATGATTTGGTATAATTGTATCCGCGCGAGGGGATAATCATCGAACTATCTATATACATTAAGATTCTTAAGAGTAATCGCACGCAATTACAATATTCAAATGATTTAATATAAGTATTTAGTGATAAATTTCGCTATATTGCTTTGCACATTTCCACGTTTATCCGTGTGAAAATTGCATTTCTCGCTCGTTTGAAAAAAAATCTACACAATATAGATACTCAGATCCGTATTCGCAATTCTTGAGTAAACGAACAAGCTTTTTTACCACTAATATACGTAAAATCATCCTTTTTGCATGTGAAACATAGTCGGAATCCGCTATTTCCGCGGAATGTTCGAATCGGAATGTAATTCGTCAGCGAACATATTCGCTAAATGCATTATAATAATGCTTATGTGTATTATATATCAGTTAAATTCGCACTTACATCTATTGTTTTTCTCACTCTTTTGTAGAAACACATAACTAACAATAAATAAAATTCTAATGCATATGGCGCTAGCTTAATTTTCATTGCGTTAACAATGAATTCTTTGGATTTAAATGCAGTTTCACCTTTTGATGAATACTAGTTTGACCTTTCGCAAAATATTTTGCTTTTTTTTTTTCAGAAAAGAGTCTAAAGTCTTTTCCTTTTTTTCAAAATTATTCTGTCACAAATATCTGTATCATAAATGAGAAAACTTGCGTTCATATTTCACGAGCTACTGTCTAATACTGCGTGAACAAGGGATATAAACACACGTGTTACCTAATGACTTATTTGTGATTGATTTCTAATGCACATTTCCTAATGTACATACACTAGTAATGACATTGCTGATGAAATTATTACTTTTGACGGGGCTTTTCGCGCTCGCGTTAGTCATGATACTATCGCGAATGATGCAAAGTATAATCGTATAATCACACAGTGAAAATCTTAAATATATATGATCGAAATTTACATGATTCATATATATGTATAAAGGTATGCAGAGTCACATAAATGACGCACTTCTCACGAGAAAAATGAGGAGTCGAGGCGTTACGAAGGAACTTTTGTCAGAAGCGTGGGTTTCCTGCATGGTTATACGCCGGTAGGAGAGCAACCATTTATATATGTATAACATTTAATGATATCTCTATTGGCGATTGAACGACACGATTATAAAATAGACAAAATATGCAAGTCAGATATTTTAGAGTAAAGAAAACGTGCGTGAGATTGGTGGCAAATAATATACTTTATTGCGAGTAATTATAATTAAATATGTCCTGTGTGTAAAAAAAAAAAAATAAGTGAATCAGAATAAATCGAAAGAAATTCGTTTCAATGGAACTAGACATTTTTAAAATCAATTTTAGAATTGATTTTAGAATTGATTTTAAAATCGATTTTTTAATATATTTTAATACAATTATATAATATTTATATAAAATTGTATATATTGATAAAATACAGAATTTTATATAGATTATATCTTTCTCTTCTAATTTTATTTATTTTATTTCGCTGAGCTACGTTTCCATTCAAATTTTACTTCTTTTTAATTCTACATAGAATAAAAAAAAATTAGTCACAATTGTATAAAATATAAATTCCAATCGATTCATTTGATTCACTTATTTTTTACAAAATAAATATAACACTTGCTGGTAATACCTCGTTGTAAACTATAAAATTTCGTTTCTAATAAGGTGCATAATCATATTCCAGCAACTGCTCTTTATTCTTCTCTTTCATCAGAATTTTATTTCGACAGAAACTCTCCGAAACACTATGGTGTTTTATACAAACACGTGCGACAAATTGATAAGGAATGTAAGGCACGATCGTGAACCTTAGACGGAGGATTGAAGAGAATTCTGATGATTAATTTATAGATATCTGCTCACGAACAGTAGAAGAAAACAATGTGCGATCAGACAATGACATCTTTCATAAGTGATCTTATCGTTAGCGGAACGACGTCCTCCGCGATAATAGCCATCATAATGACGTCGCAACCTATAGCGACGCTGTTACTGCAGTGTCTGGCCTTCGGTCAGATTTGCATCATCACCGCTTTTCCCTTCGCCTTGATCGTAACCTTCCTGGCCTTCGCGTGGTCTACGATTTTGAGGTCGTTATCGTGTCTTGAGTACACCCAATGGATACCGCGTATCCACGACGCTTGTCCGCCGCATAAGGCGAGTCCTTAACTGCTTCACCCGCTGGACCGGTGACATTTGCGGCTTCATGACCCTTCTCGCCAACGACATCGAACTCTACGACCTTGCCATCTCCAACACTGCGCATGATCTTCCTCGGATTATTTTTAACAATTGCCGATGGACGAATACGTCTTCTTTGGTGTCATTTCTGTTGATGAAACCGTAGCTACTCTTAACGTTGAACCATTTTACAGTTCCGGTCATTTCATTTGCGCATGGCCTTCCTCGGATTATTTTTCACTATGGCTGATTGATGGACGAATACATCTTCTTTGGTGTCATTCCTGTTGATGAAACCGTACCACTCTTGACGTTGAACCATTTTACAGTTCCGGTCACTTTGTTTGCGATGACCATCTTTTGCTGGACAGCCTTTGGTTGTTCCGGCTGCTTCTCGGTCTCACCCGTGGTGTTAAAGGTGGAATTGAGAGTACGTCCGTATCTAGATGTTTCCTTCTGTCTGGTAATGATGTTAATATCTATCGTAGAGCAGGGTTCAGAATCCTCTATATCACACATTAGACATATTATATATTCATCATCACCCTTAAATGTAATATATCAGAATTAACATCTCCAACGCTAATTTGATATAGATCACTCAACATTAAACTATTGCATGTTATTGAATTTATAGATTTTTCAAATGCGCAGTTCATTATTCATGTATTTAATCGCATATTGTTTTCTTCTACACGCGTTCAACGTGTCTATCACTCGCTATGATTGACACCTAACAATTTAGCCGCGTCGTCCGCCGAGCTCAGAAGAACCTTGTCGAGCAAACCCTTCTCGCGTATTCCTAGCAGATTAGAGATCAGGTCGTTGTCACCACTCTCGCTAGGCACTTCCGCGGGAAGTGGTGGGGAAGATAGAGGAGCAGGCGCGGCATTTTGCGAGCTGTCGTTTGCCATTCTTCCAGTGAGAGTGGCCATGTTATCATAATGATTGTAACGCATAAGCGCGCAAGGTGCCGCGTCTGCTGTTGCAACCGCCGCAACAGTTGGCAGAGAGATTCTGTCCTGGGTACGAGGCCTGCTGGTGTTCGTAGAGATTGGCGAATGCTGCTGGCTTCTAGGTGTTATCGTCGGTGGCTGCGCGGGCGAATTGTCCTCGTCACCGCTGTTACCTATATACATGGCAGAATCCACCGACTCGTGCTTTTTACGATGGCGAAGCATGCTGTGCTTCAGCGTAAACTTCCTGGTGCAGATATCGCACTCGAAGGGTCTTTCGCCTGTGTGGGTCCTCATGTGACGTCGGAGATCTTCCGCGGACCAAAATCGTCTCATACAAAAAGCGCATATAACCTGAAGAAATAAAGCATTAATTGAGCTTTTCAGCCAAACTGATCAATATGATCTCAATTTATGATTAAAATTAGGAAATTTAAGAAAATGAGATGTTGATCAATTTGACTTTCGGAAAGCTATCGTCAATTAATGCATATATCATAATTTTGCGGACTTCTTTTCGGACGAAACAAATTAATTAAAAAAAAAAACACAAATTGGATCAAGGCAAGTATAGAAAATATGTTTCTATTTCTTTAAATTGTATTTTTTTTGGAAGAGTTAAATGTTGTAAATTAAAGAGTCAAAACAAAAGAAATTATTTCTTATACCTTTCTATTGCTGTAATCAGGAAAACGACCTCTCTTCTCTTCACCATCACTAGGATGTTGCTGTGCCAGCTGATCTTCACTCGCGTCTATATTCATATTAGATGCCATATCGAGGGCTCCCTTGGCTTTTAGCATGTCGTATGAGCGTTTGTGATGCACCTTGATGTGATCCAAATTATCTTGACGTTCGGAAAAGCCGCTGTCGCATAAATAACATTTAAAAGGAGCGTCGCTGGGACCAGGCGACGATCTTGGCGATTTCCGCGATCTGGTGTTCTCATTCATCGACGTCAACGTCGTCGTATTAGAATTTGTCTTTGCAACTGCGTTAGAATTTTCCATATTCTCGGATGCGCTTGACGATCGGCTTTCATAATCACTTTGATCGTTTTGCGTGTTGGAGCACTGTGGTGGACTGTTCTGCTGATCGCTAGACTCTGACCGGGACGTAGTCTTACGATGCTTGGTCGATCGATGCTTCTTCAGATTACCTAATGTAGAAAAGGTCGAGCTTGGGCACTGATTGCATTTGTATGGTCTCTCGGGCACGTTTCTCATAGAGAATGTATTATTACTGCTACTACTACTGCTACTGGCAACCACCTGGACGTCCGGCGAGGAGGAGTTTCTGACACGGCGTATTTTATTCGCTTTTGACTTGTGTTTCCTCAACAAGTGACGGTCGCAATTGGATTTTGTGGTGAAGTAATGCGAGCACTGCGTGCACTGAAAGGGCTTCTGGCCGGTATGAGTGAGAATGTGACGTCTCAGCGATGAACTCCAGGGAAATTGACGCGGGCAATAAGGGCATGGGACTCGATTCGGTGCCATCGAATACGCGGACTTCTTCTTCTTTTTCTTCTTCTTGTTCGATGAAGAATCATTTCCAGAATTTAAGGAATTCATGGAATCGGATTTTTCGCTGCCGGAATTATTGCCACTGGTCGAGGCCACAGGGCCTTCCTCGTCACTTAAATATTGCGGTTTGAATTCCTGATATTGCTGAGATGCGTTATCCAATAATTTCGAAACACTCGCGAGATCGGCTGCTCCGTCTTCGAGTTTGCTCTGTTCCTTCCCGGTGGGTTCCGTTTTGATTGTTTCTTCAGTGTGTACCGATTTGTTGTCAGCAGCCGCAGATTCTTCCTTGTTAGTCCTGTCTATGCCATTTCGCGTAGTCTGTTCTCCATGAGATTCTCCCGAGGTTTCTTCCGCCGGATCAATCACTTCCTTTTTCACGACGATATCTTTAACACCTTCGCTGCTCTCTAACTGATCTCTCAGCAAACTTGTACTAAGCTCATGCTGAGCCTGCGGCTCCTGTGCATCCCTATCACCTGATTCCTCATCTATTACCATTTCGTCATCTGAATCATTGTCATCCATTTTATCAGCTTTCAATTGTTGCGCTAGAATGGCATACTTTACTTGATCTGAAATGGGATGCGTATTATAATCCGATGTGACCATTGACGAGTCGACGTTTGGAATATTCGGATATGGTTGAGTTACTTGCGAAGTTGACGGGCCGGGATTCTGCATCATAGTCGAATGATTCATAGGCGGTCTACCTCTAGTTGAGTGTCCGCCGCGAGGTCTTTGGCTCCAGTACTGCGGATGCTGCTGCTTGATATGTCGTTCCATGTTGCTTCGCAGTGTGAATCTTGCCGTGCAGTGCTCGCAGCCGAACGGTCTCTCGGTGCGGTATCTGCGCTGTTTCTGCTTGGGAATCAACACACCGTTTTTAAGTACCATCTTCACGGGATCGTTCGACGAAATGCTGTCCGTTTTTTCGCGGCTCGGCGCGGCCTGGCTGGCTATTTGCGCGTTCATCAGGTAAGCGTTGTGTTCGCTCGAGGTTTGCGAGGTTTCCCGCGCTTGCGCGTATGCATAACTGGTGCTGGGCAGTGACGGATCACCTGGAAGGGTACTGCCACCGGTCAACTGCAAACCCCTGACCAATTCTTTCTGTAGTCTGCCCTTCTCGGTCAATTCCTGGCTGAACATGTGAGGATTGAGGAAATACGGCGGTATCATAGTGGCGCCAGTCAACGTGCCGAGATTACGATAGATAGTACTTGCGTAAAAATTCTCCAGCGACGTAGTCGACGAATTTTCGCGTGCTCTGTTCAGCAGAGCTTGAGTCAGCAGCAATGCCGGATTCGTGGCGTACAATTCCTGTTGATTATTCTTATAATGTTTATCCTCCTGAGAATTTTCGCTTTCTTTTTTCTGTTTTCTGCTCAGATCCAGAACAACGTCCATAGATAGATCCAACGGACCGTCCTCCCCCGAACTCAACACGGAGCTTGTCGTAGACTTGGTCAGATTCATCGGACTAGCTTGAATTCTTTGGTGTGTATCTGTTTTGGTATCGCTGACTAGAGACACGCTGCCATCCGATGATCTTGACTCGATGTCTTCGTCGAGCTTCGAATAATTAGACTTCAGATCATGAGATACGTTCAATTCCTCAGCGTTTTTCTTTACGAGATTCAAAGCCTGTATCTTTGTTGGTCTGTGAAACATATCTGGCTTCTCATAGCGATTCATCAACATCTCAGCGCAGACGTTTGAGGGTCCCGGATTACAGTCCATCAATACAGGCGGATAATGCATCTGCTGTTGTTGAGAGGTTTCTTCACGTTCGTTCGGATAAACGAGTGTTTTTCGCACGTCATCCCTAATACCTCTGGGAGAGCTTCTCTCGACGTTCTCGTTTGTCGAGTCCTCACTCGGATGATATATCAATGCATTCTTAACATCTTCCTTGCTGATCATTCCATGACGATTCTTTACATGCCTTTCGCAATTCGCTTTAGTGGTAAACGCATAATTGCAAAGAGAGCATTCGAAAGGTCGATCACCGTTATGCGATCTTAAGTGCTTCAGCAAGGCTCCTTTGTCGGTACTGGTAAAGGGGCACATGTTGCATGGATACGGCATTCCTGGTTCTACATTCATATGCGCGCGATTGTGCCCCTTGAGTGCCCGCAGATTGGGAAATACGGACGCACACAGTCTACAAGGAAACTCACCCTTCAGTTTCATCTTCCGGAATTCTGCGGTGAAGGCATCCTGTGCTTCTTCCTCGTTATATTCGGACGAGCAAGTACCCGAAGAACCCGAAGAACCGATATTCGGATTGAACTTGATATTATTCTCGGGCGTGCTGGTGTCTGATCGCGGGAAGGTCGGCAATCCGTTTAAACTGACGGACAAGATGCTCGGGATATCTGCTAAATCCTTCATTTCCTTCGGCTCCTTAATCTCTTTCGACTCTCTAGATTCTTTTACCTCGCGCGCCAGGGATTTGTTCTGCAGATCCAGCACGGCGAAAAAAATCTCGCGCGTCATTTTGGAATCTTCGGGCTGCGGAGATGGGGCATCCAATTCCATTTCAAGATTATTGTTGGTATTGTTATCATTGTTATTGTTGCTGTCATTGCTGTTTCTCTTGTTCTTGTACGGACCCTTGCATTCCTTTTCGTGATCGAGCTGAGCCTGTCTGCATGGAAACGCGTGCAGACACTTCATGCACTGAAACCTGTTGGCTTCACCGGAGGCTGGTCGATGCAACTCCTGCTCACACATCCGTCGAGCGATCTCCGCGAACTTCGCCGCCGAAAAATCCATAAACGTGAGATCCCCGAAACCGTCTACGGTGCTGCGACGACTGTTGTTGCCGTTCGCGTTCTTCTTATAATGACTCATAGAACGATGGAGGTTCAATTGCCGGTGATTCTTGAAGGACATGTTGCAGATCTCGCAAGTGGCCAGGGATTCCGGATGCATGTGTTCCATGTGAGCCTCTAACATCGCACCGCTCACAAAATCCTTGCCGCAAATCAGACAACCGAACGTCATCTGCTCCCCATCCGGCTGGCATCTAATCAACATTGTAGTATTATTCATGAGAGTCTTGTGCCTCTTCTGTTCCTCCGTATCGCTGGCGTCGTCTTGCGAGCATTTTCGCTTGTTCGCGCGATGGTTGTCGGGCGACGATGTTTGTTGCCGGTCGTCGATCAAGGTCGGCGAGTTGCGCCTGGTTAACTCGTTGTTGTTGTATTCGCTCTGATTCGTTGTCGCTGGTCTCTCCGAGCCGCTGCTGCCCTCGGAATCCGTGCAACTGTTCGGCGACGCCATCCGATGGGTGCACCTCACGTGACGGTTCATGTTGCCGTTCGTCGTGAACGACATGTCGCAGTACTTGCACTTGAACGGCCGTTCACCCGAGTGTACCAGCACGTGTCGGTCCAGCGAGCTCGCCGAGCTGAGGACCTTGTTGCAAACCCCGCAGCTGTAGTCCTCCTCGCCGCTGCAGTCTGTGCTGCGAGGTGAGTTATGGCCGCGTAGATGATTCGTCAGTTCGTGGGAACTGGAAAATACCGATGGACACATCGGGCATGGATGCGAGCTATTTTCTGTCAGCTCGACCTATTTTTTAGAGAAAAGTATATGATATTAAAACATGTATCTTATGGGTAAAAACACCATTTACGCTATTAAAAATATTTTCATTCTGTCATTCATTTCTATAATATATAAATATGAAATTGTCAAAATTTTTAATTATTTTTTTGTATGTTTTTGATATTTTATAGAGTTAATATTGTTAAAGCTTTAAAAGAACTCTTATTGGTACGATATTAATTTTACTAATTTTATGCTTTTATTTTTATGACTAATTTTATTAGCTATTAATTAATTACTAGTTATATAGATGCTTACGCTTGATGATGGTGATGCGGCATCAATTTGTGTTTCGTTCTCCTGCTCTTGCTCGGTTCCATTCTCGGATTTAGTCACTGCAACATAAAAAATATATTTCAATAAAACGAAACATAAAATAATTATTATAATTAAGCAATATGCAAAATATAAGTTTTTTCTGTTATTATCAAGTATTTTATAAATATTAATTCATTTTCATTAATATGGATGAAAAAATCAAATGCGCGAGTCATGCTGACGAAATCGAGCTTTACAACTCTTACTAAATCATTTCGCAGATAGAAATTGATCTGAGAAAGATCGGAAAAACCCGCAGAGCGAGCGCGATCATTCTGGACCACAATTTGTTGTTGACGAAACAGGAAAAACCGAGACATCGGATATAAGGAAAGAGTAGAGGATTTGTAAACTGAAGCTTAAGATAAAAGAAAAAGGAAGCATTTGAATTGTTTTATAAAATGTAATTATCGCTAAATATTCATTGCGGTTGGCTTTAAGCAACTGCTGTGGCTTTATAATCATTATCATTATCTCTCTCTCTCTATTTCGATTTATTTATTTTTTCTTGTTCTAAAAGAAGAAAACTTGCGTCGGTTTATAAATAAAAAAAGAAGAACATAGTTATAAATGTCGATCGAATCGTGAATTTCTTTTATTAACTACAATCGTCAGAATAATTCAAACCATAAGAATTTATAACAGTGTGTCTTCTTTTTTTAGAAAATTATTAAAGAACCTTCGGCGAAGAAGCAATGATTCTGGTCTTCGTGCATATCATTACGACATAATTCAAATCTCGTTATAACGACGTAATGATGTAGAATATGCCGAGAATAGGTCGTACACGCTGCGATGAGCGCTGTCCTTAAAACAGCGGATAATCAGGAGCCGCATACCGGATGATCCCGCCGGTGTGTTGCGTCTCCGGAGGCTTAGTGGGGTATATAAAGAATTGTGTCAGCGCGGCACAGGACAGGACACAAATCTGACCGAGTATTCCGGAAGCTGATACCCCGAACCGCAAATGAAGCCGTGACAATAACATTTATCAACGTCCTCGCCCGACGTTCTGACCGCAGTCGACCGTCTATTCTATTTACATACGCTTTTGGAGAACGCATTTAGCATCTTGAGAAAAATCGACGATTAGGCTACATTGCTTAGGACGCTCCTGATTACATCGTGAGAAAGTTAAGACAAACAGAAGCGGACTTTTTATCTTTTTGATACTTATTGATTTAGGAATTGAAGCTGTTTAGGCTAAACAGCTCTTCAATTCCTAAATCAATAAGTATCAAAGAGATAAAAAGTTTTAGAAATTAAGTTTTAGAAATTTAAAAATAATATTTATTCAATTTTTCTAAAAGTCGTAATATTAAAAATAATATTTATTCAATTTTCTAAAAGTCGTAAAATTTAAAAATAATATTTATTCAATTTTTCTAAAAATCCTACTTGTATGATGTAACAGAATGGAATTGAAACAAAAATGCAAGAAGATATTTCACATCTACAAATTATTATTTCGATAGAAAAATACTTCATTTAAATTTTCAGCGAAAATGAATTTTAAAATTCTAACTTAAGATTATAGATCCTTTAATCGTTATGTATATTAGTATTTAGAAAATTTAAACTGTATTCTTTAAAAAGAGACACTGTTCTATTAATTAATTGCACATTACTTTTATTGATGCAAGAGAAAAATAAAGCTATTAGAATATAACATAACCGCTCATCTTTTGATGTGCTAGAATCACCTTTATAAATTTTCTTATAAACTTTCTTATCAATGTGATTAAACTTGGAGATACTATTTCGAGAACAATACCTCGGAGATGTATCTTAAGAGCAATGACTCACACTTTTCCTTTCCAGGGATTTGCAGAACAAAGCAATATTACGAGAATTTCTTACAAATCATATCGACTCGATATCGCATCTCGGTATTAACCGTCTCGAAGGCTTCTTATCATGTTTTCGTTGAAATTCGAAGTTTTACATCTAATGGATAACGAGGAGCAAATTCCGCGTGCAATGCGAAATCTAATAAAGTCGCGTAACTCTGTCAAAAAAATTAATAAAGTGATTTTTTTGACTCTTCTTAAAGAACTTCCACGAAATTTGTTAAGAGTTTATTCGTATTGTAAATATAATCGCAAGATTATGGTAAGAAAAATCAGACGATTAACAATAAATATATTGAAAGAGTTAGTTATAAAGTTTAGAAAAATAATATTTAAAAAAAATGAGATAAATTTTACTTTTTAATTTTAGTTTTCGACGAAATTTCGATAAGATAAGTAAGATTCTTATTCATCTATCTTCTCAGATCTGTATAGATTCGAATTCCATTATAAATTGAAATTATTGTTTAAAATCTTGGCGTTTATATGTTTTTTTATATTTTTAGGGTTTTTAAATTAATAAATAAATATATAAATTTCTTTCCAAGATATATAAAAAAATGTGAAAGTATATAATAAAATATAATAAAATTGTCTTTGCACGAAAGCAAGTTGAAGAATTCCTGAAAAATAAAAATATTGATCTTTTAACATCTATGTATGCACATGTATACAAATGCTTCCATTTATTCTCATTCAGATAATAAAGTTTAATGAAAGGCTTGTTATCAAATTAATAACTAGCAAAATATGCGTGTGTAATCTCATGCAACGGTAGACGGATACTGGCGTTAAGCATAATAACTGACACCTTTAATAGTCGAAGGACGTAATACGGCTTTACATTCTCTTTCCAGATATCTCGCCTTTGATTCGCCGATATTTATGCGCATCTTACGATAACGCATATTAATTGTCACGTAATAAAGAAACGGAATGACTTCAATGAGAAATTAAGATGAAACAATCTCAAATAATTGAAATACAAGTATCTTTTTTCAATTTAATGTTATTTAATGTTATTATAGTGTGATCGCACACTGTAATTAAAAAATTGTAATTTATCTCATATGATACACGATAAATGACTCCCCTAAATATCGCATTACTCGTCGATTAAATGATTACACAGTGCTCGTCATGTGGTCCTAAACGAACCTGTTCTGTGGGCGCCTATAAGTATATAAATGTACCTGTCGGCAGGTGAACTTTATTCATGCGCGTAAATCATGCGCGCGTGCACGCCCTGGTCAAGTGTGGAGAAACGAGTCTGATCAAGTTCGTCTGCGGTTTAAAAAAAAATGCCTGCCATTATTAAAATAACTCTTAACTCGTGCCCGATCCTGACTGCTTCCAATTGAGTACCCATTTTGATGTTACAAGTGAAATTATTATTATTTTTATCATATTTTATAAATGAAATTATTACAATTCAAAATAAATTATAACATATTTTATGACAATTTGTTATTTTCATAAATTAAATTAAAATTTGAAAATAGCTACTTAAAATTGACCGCAAACTTTTTCGAATAAACTTGATTGCACTTTTAATATTTTAACTATGCCCGACTGCAATATCAATAACGAGAGATTAAACGTGACAATTTTTAATAGAATTTTTTTTGTGGCGTCGCACGATTGTCTATATTAGTAAGATATGTCGTACACGCGTGGAATAAGAAAATCAATATCAACATCAATATGTTGCTCGCATCAATGACGAGAAATGCGAGGCAAAGAAAAATAGAAATCGTTTTTCGTGGTTCATGGAACGTCGTAACGATTAGTCTCCGGTCTCACCGCGATCGTTAGAAATGGAAAGCACCGTGAGGGAAGATTTCCAATTGCAACGATTAAGAATCTATACCAAATTTCACTCGAGACGATCAATGTGCGACAGACTCGAGGGAAATTGATAAACGAATATCCAGTATATTGTTGTAATTACATAATACAGATAACAAAGCTAGAAAATTACAAAGTTTCACAAATTTATTCAGTATAAATGTAAAATTGGCATCTTAATTTTTCAGCGAAATTTTCTTTTATTATTTTTAACTTGAGGATTTTTCTTAATAACCAAGTCTTTTTTATATTTTAAATGCTTCCTTCCAATCCGTTATATTCAATATCTTACAATGATAGTAATATAAACACATAGTAACATAAACACATCTTCATAACCGGTTTATATAACAAAAGTACATAAATAAAAAAGATTTTTCCACGCAAAGATGAGATCAAATGATTATGGGATTAAATGCGTTTTAGATTGAATAACAAGCAGATATCACATTTTACATGTGGATTTGTGCTCAAAAGACGTAATGTAAGAAAAAATAAATAATTACGTCGTAAACTGCAAATACTCTAAATTAACTAAATTACAAATAAGTGAATGCAGAAAATTCGACTTTATCTTATTAAATAGTTCATAAAATTATCTTTGATGTAGTACATGCATATATATGATGCATATATAAGTGTGTGTATGATATATACATATATATTACATAATATGTGATTTTTATACAATTTATTACATTTTGATGTAAAATTAAAACACATAAAAATTTATTTTATTTAAAAGAGGAACTAGATGGCTTTGTAGAATTAAAATTTTTATTATCACAAATTTTTACGTGCTATAAAATCTTCGTGATGCAATCATAAAAAAATTAGTTCCATAGAAGATAATATTTATTTTGAGATTAAATTATATTCTACAAGCCAAATCTTTATTTCAATTCACAAATTAAATATTAATTTCATATTTTCAAAGATTAAAAGTACTTTGCGCAATATCAATTCATCGAAATATATGATTTATTAACTTTTGATGTAGCTGTAATCTGTCTAGGTTCTCGTTAATAGATTAGATAGATATTGTGCATATCTAAATTATTATGTATAAATTTCTGTCTATAAAAAAATATATATTTCGTTAGAAAAGATCATGAAACTAACGCAGGGAAAAATGGACGAATTTATCGAGAGGAACCAATGCGGGAAGGGCGAGTCCCGTAATCGCACGGTTTCAAGGGAATCGAGAGCGAACGAGCTGGAGGACCATACAGAACGCCACGCCTATATCTGCATTGCACCCTCGCCGGGACCTCGTCGGGGGAGCCTTGAGGGAAAAAGGGAGCAGTGTCGTGTCAGCA